CAAGTGTGATAGAAATAAATCTGGACCCAAGGTTACACAGGATGGTATTTTCAAATGTGTTTTTTGATAGGGCTGTGTGAAAAAAAGGAGCTCCGTGCTTCTTGTCACCCCATTATTTCCAGGTCGGAACCAGCAGAAAAGGAAGATGTCAAGTTGAAGAAGAAGGCTTTCTTAGCCTGGCTGACACTCCTGACACGTTTGAGAGAGAAGTGGTTGCCATTAAAGCTGCAGCTGCTGTACCTGCAGAGGCGGGAACCCTCAGGTGTAGGAAGGCATTCAATTAGAGGTGTAAGACAGAAATGGCCATTATGCATTTCAAAGTCAACCACATCAAGCTGTGTAGCTGCGGTTAATTAAAATTGATATTTCAAAAAGTTTTCTTTCATTGCAGCACTACTTACTACTGAGTGTTCACACACCGGTAAGGATGATTATAAAGGTCATGGCTGGTTGAATATAGAAAACATTTGTCAACTCCCTGTTCTATAGCGATAACAGGAGAAAAGGCTGCAACCTTGAAGACTTTCATTAAAAATACATATAACCTGAGCTTCTGTCATTTTAGGTAAAACCTTAAACAAATGTCAAGCTACGACAAGTTTATATAACACAATGTCTGCCCCTACAAAGGATTTATCCCACAAAAGCAATGATGAAAGAATTTGCAGCTAAAGCTCTCAGACATAAAAGGAAAACCATTAAAGCTGCATTAAACTATGATTTTCATAATAGAACAAATAACAGTGTTGTGTGTTGTGCAGCTAGTGATGAACACACACAGAATTATCATCCAACTCTGCAGTTCTAACCAGCGCTTTAGCATCTTTCAGCTTGTTGTTTCGGTTTTATGGCTGCAACTGTGCTGTTTTGGTTCAATCTCACCGCTCTCACGTCTTGTTTCCTGCCTCTAGAAACCCAACATACACTACCTGCTCAGCACCAGACAGCTATTCCCTCCCAGGACGTGCTGGAGAGCACGACAGAGCTAAAAGAGAGAAAACTGGTCACCGAATGAATGTTAATGTTACTCTGTGACTTGCCAGGTGCTTCCTGGTATGCCAGCCATATCAAGTACAGAATCAGTCAGTGGAGTTTCAGCATGATGTGCTGGAACTCGTGTATTTGAAATATGTGTTGAATGTTGTAATACCTGTGAAAGAGCTTGACTTTTATGTGGTTTACTGTCGCCTCGGTCCTCTCTTTACTTTGTCTTTATAATTATGCATTACTCCATCTTTCCTGTCAGCCTGTTTAAAAAAAGACACATTTATTTCTACCTGCAGCTGCAGCAGAATCCCTTCTGACTGCATCTGTGAATGCTCTCAAAATGTGTTACATCTGTACATGACATATGTGTAAAAATACTATAATGACATCTAGCAGTTGACAGATGACACAGATTTCAGTGTGAGAAAATGATCTGTTTAAGATTTATTCTCTATAAATGCATATACCCAAACCAGCAATGCGATGTCTATGATGAATATGATATGTACATAAAACTGTGCAGTTCACAAAGAAGTTTCAATATTTGTTGTTTTGTTTAGTTTCTGTGTCACATCTTTAAATGTTTTGTGATGATGTGATGAAAATAATAAAGCCAAATGAAATCACAAAGTAACAAAACTTTGCAACTTTTAAATTTTATTTTTTATTAATGTAATAACCTTTTTCAGGTTGTAAACCAATTTCTGAGTAGTAATAGGAAAACTAATGAAAAGTTAGTTTCTCTCCAGTGACACTGAAAGTTAACCTCTTTTTAAATTCTCATAATTGAGGAGAGAACCAGGAGAAGCACACACAAAATAGAAAAATATGTCTCGGAGCACAAAATAAATGATGGTTTTATTGTGCTTCTGTTTTTATATTAAACACAGGTACTGTTTGCCCTGAGCTATCATCTTCACATCAAATGGCATTTGTTCACAGTTACTCCTTAAACAAAAAAACAAAAATGAAAATCCTCAAAGCTGTAAGAGAAAAGTAGTTTGTTTGTAATTCTTAATGTGATTAATATATAATACATTTAATAAATCTTTGCTGCCCTTACGCCTGCATTTTCTTCCGTTTCTTCAATTTTTCCATCCCACCTTTATCTTGGCTGGAACTTCTATAAGGTACATAGAGTCTAAAGTGAGAGAAACCCCCCCCCCCATGGAGGCTTTTAAGAAACTTGACCTCCATAAATCACCAGATGTGTCATACATTCAACACAAACTATCCATCCATTCATTTTATAAACCGTCTATCCTGTTAAGTGTCATAAGGGGCTGAAGGCCACATTCACCCTCTATCTATCATCTGACCTGGATGTCTTTGTACAGTGGAAGGAAGCTTTGTGACGGTGACAATGCCTCTGCCATCATGCCCTGGTGATCTATGGTGATCTTGCTGAGCCTTGCTATCTCAAAGCAAATAGAAAGTCTTTTCACATTCTGGATAGAGTGTGACTGCAGAAAGCTCACTGAGGCTAGGCTGTGGCTAGCTATTCTGTGAGACATAACTCATTCGAGTAATACTGATGCAAGGCTGGATTGCCAATGGGGCAAAAAGAGCTTTGATCCCCCAGCAGCCCCCGTGGCCCCTGGTTCACTTTGTCATTTGGCTGCATGCAATTAACACTGAGGTAGGTTCTGCGTTAATCTGTGTGACCCACTTTTGTAGAAGGATCAAAGTCTAACTTTAACATGTAATTTTAGTTAATACTGTGCTTATATGGAGCATTTTCCTAAAGAAAGAACAAAATAACAACCTGTGGCCAACTACAGTAGTAATAGTAGCAGCAGAAGAGTTAGTCTCTGGTTAGTCTCTGGGTAGCGGGCATAAGAAATGGGCAAAGGGTATCAACAGCAAACGTTTTGAATGTAATATTTTTTTTAAGAAGAAGTATAAAGTAACATGAAATGAAAACACTCAAAATGTAAAAGCTTCTCAAAATTGTACCCATTTCAGTAAATGTAGTTTGTTACTTTGCATCACTGGTACTAGTCGCTCTCTCTCGCTCACTCTCTCTCTCTCAATATTCCTGGTCGACTGCTTCTACCAAGTGGCCACTATGCAGCATAACATTACCTGATGATATGACAAGCTTTCAGAGATTTCTCTCAGCAGCACGTCCTCTGGTGTTAGAAGAGGCAAATAGATTCTGACAATATAATACACACACACACACACACACACAAACACACACACACACATACACACATACAGTTTAAATTTCATGCATACAGGATTTCACACTCACTTGATCTGAGTGACGACCTGAGCTGTAGTTCTCTTCAGAAGAGCCTGGATGCTCCTCATCAAGTCCAGCTTCTTATAAATCATTCAGACATGCTTTTGATTAATGTGACATGCTCTGCTGGTGCTGTTGTTCTGTTACAGTTCAAATTTGTCTCAATTATGTGAATTTACGCTGGACAGGTTTGTGTGTCTGATTTTGTGCATACCACCAACACACATTTAATACGATAAAATGTATTCACAGAATAAATTTAGTTCTTAACATAGAAATCAAAAATACAATTAAATAATCAAAGCAAAAAAGTAATTGTAACAGACAAAACTCAAAGAATTTCATCATTATATCAATCAGTATGAAGACAATCATTTTCAAAGTAAGGAAAATGTAACATTGATATCACACACTGAAGCCTTGCTTCACACACAGTACCACCACTGCTGAGCCGAGAGCAGGTCACACCAGCTTAGGCAGGGGAGGCTCATGTAAAAATATAGCTCTGTTGATATTCAAACTTCTAATAGTCAACAACTACCATAAAAAGAGCAAAGCAGTCAATGAACTGATCCGGCTTCTTACATATTGTCTGTGTCATGGAAACCTGATAGATCTTATTCCACTGTCTGTGCCACTGAGCTCCTCTGTGTCCAAAATCTATTAGAAACATCAGTGAAACATCAGTCGATCAACACCGCTCCACTGAGTAACATGGTACCTCATTATGCTGAACGTGGGCCATGAAGTTAATCCCACTTACACTGAGCTTAGATACTTATCATAGGGCCAAATGTGTATTAATTCACCACTTAAAATTGTCCCCAAAAAAAAACTGACATTATATACAGTGTTGCTCATAAAGTTGGAATAAAATATTTTTTACCTCTTTCCATGAAATGATTGTGACAATGTGATTTATTTCATTTCACCTGGGTAATTGGGACACATAATGTAATCATTGCACCTGGTCAAAAGTGATTACTGATGCATTTAAATAGGAATATACAGAGGATTATGTCTGAAAACAAAATTATTCCAACTTTATGGGCAACAGTGTATATTATCAGCTGATTTGAAATCTTTGCATAGCGACAAAGTGGCCACAGGGGAGATGGTCTCACACATTGTCTCCTTATCATCTTCTGAACCCTTGCTTGAATCAACTAAAAATTTCCAAATGTGTCTTAATGAGTTGCTCATCAGACTATGCCCGTCAGTGCTGCAATATTAAAACGGCAGCTGTTCCTCTGGCATTTAATAACCACTTAATAATTGTCCGCCATTTATATTTGGATACGGAACTCAGTACATCCCACACAAGTTTTCTTTTACGAATCCCTTTTATTTGCTTTGCACTTTGCAGTTGGAATAACCTTTATTACAGTGTCTTGTAGCTATTTTTGTTTTACTTTGAACCCTTTTTTTTCAAACATGTAATTCGTCACAGTTGTATATATCCCTGCAAACAGGGCACTCCTGCAAAAGAGATCTCGCTCAGCAAGTTCCTCCTGTGTAAATAAAAGCTTGACTCAATCAATATATTATGTTTGAAATAATTTAATAATCTAATTATGTGACATAAACAATTTGATATTTTAAAGTTTTGAGCTGTGTTGAAAATGCTTCACTAGATATAAAAGTAATGTTGTAGTGACATTTTGAAACTCAAATACAGGTGATCTACACCTATTGCAACCTTTTCACAGTGTTGCTCCACCTCCTTTCTGACACATCACCATGACATTTGTCTTGTTGTCTTCATCAAAGATCACTGGAAGAAGCAGTGCTGGGCTCCCACTCTCTCTCCTGACCTCCTCGTCAAGGTAAGCTGCGTCAGTTCTGTCCTCAGGTGTGAGAAAATAAAACATACAGGTAGAAGATTGGAAAAAGATGAGATAAAAATTTGACATGCAGTAGAACCTGAGGGCTTCTTACAGTATATGCCTCAGTACTTCAAAATCAAATGAACAGCGGGTTAACTACAGTAAACCTCACCTAATGTTGGAATTTGTGTGTGTGTTGCTCGGTTTTCATGTGTGTACTAGTTAGAAAGTGGCTTTAGCTTTATCTAACTCAAACTAAACTTAATTACAAATGGAATAAATCATGAGAGGTAGGTTTCAGCTAAGAAAACAATGACAGGAATACTGAGTGCAGGAATGCTGAATGCCAGTGCAGAGTGGATTTTATAACAGGTTGAACAAGTTTTGTCCTTTTACATCAATAATTACTTTACTCAGTAAGTCAACAGATTCACATCCTCCGATTTGTACGGAGGCAAAGACAGGGCAGTGCATGTAGTTTAAGAAAACACAAGCAAATAAAGAAATCTTCCTCTCTACGTCGAGACATAGATCACATGTAGAAAACAAATGCTGCAAATAAAACAAACACATTTGCCAAATGTAAAACGCATAACAAACGTAAAGAAATGCTTTGCAAATGCAGCAAACACATACAAACAGAGAAATGTCGCAAATTGTACGCAAAACAGAAAATTTACCGCTGAGCTCATTGACCACTCGGTGAAGATGACTGACATGTTTATCTGAGTTTTTACATTCTGATTCAGCATGGACGTTCATCGGTGGCCTTGAAAACAGCAGTACGACAAAAATTAATGAATGAATGAATAAATCTCAATTCAAGGTCGACATAAGAAGTTTCTTTTCAGACATTCTAATTGTTTGATGGTGATGGCCTTACTGAAATCAGTATTTAGTGTTCCCCTGAAACTTTTTTTTTCACAGCAAACATGTTGACTCGTCTCGGCATGAAAAGCCAAGGCATAATTAACTAAATTAAAAATGACTATATTCAGTTAAGCTTGTTCCAGGGTCTTTGGGTATTATGAATGGTGGCTCTTTGTCATGGCTCACTGGGACGCTTGATGGAACTGAGCTGTTAACAAAATGTGTTTCACATGTGGTATTCCCTCTTTGACAAATGAAAATGTTACTGTGTATTCAGTGTTACTGAATCCAATCTGCCAACACAGCACGTCATCACTGAGGCAGGTTCAATGCAAATTCTTATCAGTGGCTTATTTGTAGGTGTGTTGGAGACGTGAAGCAACACTGTGCGCTTGCTTTGGACAGTTTCTAGTACAATACGTTCCTTTGGTAGAACAGTGAGATGAAGGATTATTTATGTACACAGGGCAGGGACTCTGATCTAGTGTTTTCTAGTTTCACTTTTGTTTACAAAGTAAAGATGTAATGCCACCAAACCTGCTTGCTTGCATACACATGCCTTAGAGTCAATGTTGTTGCAACTGGCCATTCATTGCTTTCGAGTACTCTATAACTTGAATAGCAGGTTTTCACACTCGGAGGACGCATGGTGTTAAAATGAATATGCCACTGGAGTTTCCAGGTTTCAATCTGAACCCAACTTCGATCCACTGCTTTCCTTCACTGACAGGGATCAGGGGACCCTCTGAAAGACATTTTTGGATTACAAGGCTTTACTCCAGATCATTTTTTTTACCTTCTTTCCTCTGCCTTACAAGCTTTTCTCTCTGCTCCATCAGACAGATATCGTGGAAAAGCATCAGGTACCTCCCATGGCAATGCCACACAATATGGCAAATATGCCAGCACCGCCGTACCCAGGCCCCCCTGTAGACCCCAACATGGCTGCCTATATGGGAGTCCAAAGTCAGCAAGTCGTGCAGACTGGTAAGACATCAGGGGCTTATTTTGTTCTATTTTACTCTATTTTTCAAGTTATTCCTGTCATTTTAATCCATGTGGTCAGACCATTTGAGTTTGATTTTTTTCTTTTAACCTTTCTCAAGCTAAATGTCTTCTTCTCATATCCAGTTCATCAATCTGTTTACCAGTACCCCCAACAACAGCCTCAGATCTTACAGCCTGGTGAGTGTCTCTCTCCAACTGTCTCTCATAAGTTAAAATAACTTTCAAATTCGTGTCATATAGAAAAAAACTGAACAAACTTTGCGTTCAGTGGTGGGTTGGCGAGGAGGTGTGGACAGTAATTGTCGGTAGTAGAAGTTTTTTTCCTGCCCACAGTACACCAGGTGGTGGTGGTGCAGCCGATGCCAACTGATAATCCTGGACAGATGTTATGTCCTCGCTGCCAAAACAACATTCTCACTAAAGTTGAATATAAGAATGGTGTACTCACCTGGCTGATCTGTGGCCTACTAGGAATCTTCGGGTGAGTAGAGACCCCAAAACACACACAAACACACAAACACACACACACACACACACACACACACGCACACACACACACACACACACACACACACACACACACACACACACACACATTAACATAGTAATCAAGCATTATTTTAACTTTATTCCAGGATCTGGCCTTGCTGTTTGATTCCTTTCTGTGTGGATTCTTGCAAGGATGTGCATCATTCCTGTCCCATATGTAACAACGTCCTGCATATCCATAAACGCAGCTGAAACAGCAATCTCCAGCGTAAACTCTGAAGAAACAACAAAAGGTAGAGAAGCTAGTCATGATCAAACAAACATCTGTACAGGGGTAGGATCTCATCTTGAACCGTGTACTTGTGTAAAATGCTTGTTTTACCTGCATTACTCTCTATTGTACATATGTGTAGCTAGAAAGTCCTGTAAGGCCTGTAATAGAGAGACCTGTAATATCTTCTTTTCTTTTAGCTCATGATTTGAAATGTGCAATCACATTGTAAAAAATGTAAGGTGAAAATATAATTATCATTACTAGATTTTTTCTTGACTTGCTCTGAGTGATATCATCTCACTGTAATATAATTTAGTGTTAAATTTAAGCATTAATGTAGGACGGCAACAATTTCATGAGTCTTAGTTTGTTCAAATTTAGTCCAGCTGATTATTTTATGAAATGTTATATTTGTCTGCAGAGAAAAGCAAAATTATTTGCGTTTTTGCATCTATTGATTTCATTTAGATGGCATACTGAATGTTTTTTTTAGTTGAAATTTAATTTCTTTGACACACTAATATAAAATAAATAAGTGTCACTAAATAAAAAAATATTTCAACATGAACATGACAATGCACTCAAAATAAGATATGTAAGATACACTGAAATTGTAAATATATATAAATATGTATAACAAACAAATATATGTAACAAAACCTTTAATTGCAATAATAATAACTCACTGATTATACAGTGAAATTATTAAAATGAATACATCACAAATTAATCATTATTGAAATGTACTTTCATTTTTTTACTTCATGACTGCCTTATAAAGAAAAGAAATACACAACTTACACATACATGCATACATACATAAGCAAATCATGAAGCAAAGAGATAATTTATTGGTTCTTTGATCCATACATTACCAGAATATGGTTTAACCTGGTGAAGCAGAGCTCTGCTAATATAGGTGGCATTTATCAAACAAATAAATAACATTACTTAAAAAAAAGAAAGAAATTACACCATAAAATCAGACAAGAATATTTCACTGAAACTGATATGAACACTTGTTGGCTTCAACGCTGCTTAAAAGACATAAATCTTGCAGTGCCATCTAGAGGGAAGAGGGGTTAGAGAGAAGAAAGCTTCCGTATTAGTGTTTTTCCTATTAATTATGAAGAAAGACATATTTATGACAACGGATACAATCCTACAATCCTGAAATGAAATGTAGGCATAGCTCAGTTTAATTTAAACAATTCACATTTTCTGCAGAAATAACTGAAGCATGAGTTGTTTTTCAGTGGACTGAGAAAGTTATATCATTGAAAACTGTAAAATGTTTACATCCAGCTGTCCTCAGGAGTTCCTCTTCATATGTCATATTCAAAACGTTGAGTTTCAAGATGAGTTACATTTGAAGTTATTCCCGCACCTGCATTTGTGAGTGCTTATAACAAACAGAAGAAAAAAGAGGGAACCTGTAGTGGAGAGGCCAAACAGTGTGATTAACTTGTGGAAGGAAAGTGATGCACAGTAGGTAATAAAAGGATAAGTTATAGCAGAACACAGCAGACATTTAACATGTATTAGTAGGTCACAGGTATAATTAATAACATTAATGATGATAGCATTTCTTTTAGATGTGTCAGTCCTGGCATTGTGCATTGCTCGCTCACTGGTTTGGCTTACTTGAATACTTAAATGGGACAGAGCTATGATTAATGGTTTTCAGCTGCACCTATGCTTTTCAAAATTTCAGCTGTGAAAAAGGCTCATTATGTTATAACCCCTGCCTTTATGTTTAATTCTATGCTGTATTTAATGGGAAACAGGCCTTTCAGTGGTGTAATGTAGTGGAAAATGTATAACATGTAATGTACAGTAATAGATATAACCCAAAAAGAGAGAGAGTAATAGAAAAGATGTTTTTACTTTTTTATTATAATGTACAAAATAGTAAGATGATTTAATGGCATGACTTTATAAACTGTGATATAGTAGGTGTTGGTATGACTGTTGGTTTGAAATTTCCCTAATGAACACAAAGAAGAAGAAAGAGAAGAAGGGAGTCATTTTTCTAATTGCTGGAGCCCCAAATGTCTTCCTGAGAAGTGGTGGAGGGGTTAGTCCTCATTCAATAATCTTTCATTGTGAAAACAACAGGACAGGAAGTGGCAAGCACAAAACAAAAGCTGTTGGATTGACCATCTGGATAATCTGCCAAAGCAAATTTTTGGTCATCTCCATGGTGGCCGTCTTCTCAGCTAAAGCCAAACTGTACAAGAGCTCATCTGACATGACCTCAGACTGATGCTTCCTGTAGTTCTCCAAGTAGACAGCAGATAGAGCCAACAGGCTGGGAGAGAGCAGGCTTCAGTCTCCCTTCACACACCACTGCCTCTTCTTCTTTATGATGAAGTGCACTGTTTTATACCAGGTCTCCACTGGCAGTGAAAAGGAGATGTTGAAAAAAGACCCCACAAAAAGGCTTCAACCCACTGCACAAACGCATGCCTTTAATAACAAATGCTGTATCTGTCTGTGTGCGCACAGTTGTCAGAAGAGACTTGAGGTGGGATAAAGCTGGGATTATGGGATGGGCCATACTTAACAAAGTCCTGTTGGCCTGTGACCATAGTAACCACTGGATTACCCAGATTAGGATTGATGACCCGATTTAGTCAGCACTTCTCTGCTCTGTTGTCTCCCACCTCGATCTCCCTTTGTCTCTGTGACTCAATCACACAGCAGGACGAACCAGCACACAGATAACACATACTAGAAGGTTTCCCAAACTTCTTAAAGTCGATGTCTTGTAACTAATGTTCTGCTTTAATAATACACGAGGGACAAGGACGTCAGAGAGTGTTGTCTGTGAGAGGCTGGCAGACATTCAGTTCCTTTCTCAAGGCAATTTAGAAAGGTCATCTTAGACCCAGATCGATTAAAAAACCTTGGACACCGTGACCCCCATCTGAAGTTGTGGGTTGTCTGCAATGGATAATGGTGATAATGCTAACTATAGCTGCAGTTTTATTTTATTTTTCAATTCATCTGCCACTTGATTTCTCAATTAATCAGTTAATTGTTTGCTCATTAAAATGTCAAGAAGGAGTTCATTTTAGGAAATATGCTTATTCACTTTCTTTCAGACTTAGATGAGAAGATTAATATCACTCTCATGTCTGCACACTCAGTATGAAGCAACAGCCAGCAGCATTAGCAACTTAGCATATAGCTAGTAGCCCTATAGGGTGGTTACCTGGCAACTGGCTGGCTGTAGCTTTGTATTTATCATACAAATATCTTCTCAGTTAACTTTTGGGAAAAAGTGAATATAAATTCACAAATGAACTATTGTTTTAAAAATGCCTATCACAGTTTCCTAAAGTCCAAGGTGATGTCATCAAATGTGCTTGTTTTTCTTTGTGTTTCTTATTTTGTCCCATCAACAGTCCAAAAATGAAAGACATACAGTTTATATTAACAAATAAAAGCAGCAAATTCTCACAACAAAAATCTTTGACATTTGGGTTTGGGAATTGACTTAAACAATTGTAGCCTATCAAAATTGCTGCAATCAACTAACCGATTCATGTGGAGACACGTTCACAGACTTTGTTATATTAATGTTAACACCTGCACTTTTCCTTCTACTAGAAGTCAAAATGTCTGCTGTTGTCATTCTTATACTTTCTTGTTTTTTATCTCAGTATTCTTGCTCGTCACCAACTAAAGCAGTTGCTCCTGCTGCTTACATAATAGCAAGGACTCACTGTCTGGATTAGACTGTCTTGACTGACACAGCAGGGTGCAGGTGTGCACTTCTTTACTTGCATCTTTTTGTCTGAGAGTTTATTTGCGTACCACAAACCAGCTTTGGCTTCTCCTGTTTGGCCTCTATCTGTCACTGCGCTCCCTAGTGTCTGTCAGCATCAATCTCTCACACGCTGATCCAAATTGACTTGATTAGCTCGTACAGTTGTTGCTCCTTGTCATGGTTTTCCTCATGTTGTGTCTCTCTCCAACCCCACATGAAGCCACCTCCAGGGGAGGAGATTACTCCACTCTAAGGGGAGGCTTGGCTGAATCATGTCTTCAAGGGTATTATGTAACACTCTCTACTAGGATGGCCACGTGGCCACAAGGCTCACCTGCGTTTGGATTGACCATCTGCCCATCTCTATCCAAATCCCATCTTCATTCTGCAACGCGCACCGTCAACAGACATCTTCCTCCTGGAGATACTTCTGATTGTTTTGGTCCAATCTGCTGCTCAATGAAGAATCTACGTGCCCCACAGTTCTGGGTGTGAGGAGGACGTGGGAGCCTGAAGGCAGGAAACAACACTGAGATGTGCACATGATTGGCAGTGCATTGCCATGCTCATATACTGTACTTATTTCCTATTTTCTTCCTGGTTAGACAGGTGCATCAGCAAATTATACTCCCCATGCGTGGGTGAGGAGAGGTAAAGCTGGGATCGCATCTGTGTTGACACCTCCGCAGATTCAGTGTGAAGCAGAGAGAGAGAAACACAGACGTGGAGACAGAATGAATAGAAAGAGGAGGACAGAGGGAGCGAGAGAGGGGCAGAGACAGTGAGAGCGAAGAGTGAAAGGGAGACAGAAGATATATTTGACTATGTGGGTGTGTGAAGTATCAAGGCATGCATCATAATTGTGGATTCTTCTCGGAGCAGCCGGACGTGTCACTGCAGCAGCAGGGCATTATTGGTCTCTCAAAGTGTGCTATTTTGTACTTTAAAACAGTGGGAGCTGTGAGCGCAGAGAGCAACATAAGAGACATTTTCAAAGACAAAATGGAAACCGCTTTGTCTCTGCTGCCTCAAGGATTTCATTGACTGTGATTTACAAAAATACTTTAACAAGTTGAAGTGATGCAGCCTGGAAAACTATGATGCCTCTTCACTCTCAATAATCAAGATTTTAAGCCAAGAATTTGTCTGAGGTGAGTTTGAAATTGTCATTTAATCATTTTAATGTTGTGGTATTTATTTTGTATGTCCGTGCGTGCATATTTGTGCGTTTGTTTCAATTCTTTTTTAAAAGTGAGAACATGTGGCCTCTGAATTCAGTTTGAAGATTAGGCTAGCATTTGATATTAGGGTGAAGGTTAAAATTATGTTCATCTTAGGGCTGGGGAATACATTACATCATTGAGGGTCCTCACAAGTAAGCACAAACATTGTGTGTGTGTGTGTGTGTGTGTGTGTGTATGTGTGTGTGTGTGTGTGTGTGTGTGTGTAGTCGCGTGTTTCTCTGTGCTTTTGGGTACTGAAACTCGACTTCTCAAAAGCCCAGTATTTGATGTAGTCAGCCCACGCTGTTTCCCGTTCCCATGGAAACCAGTGCCCAGTGCTAAAAGCAGTTCTATTCTGTGCTGTGAGTGCGTGAGTGTGTATTTGTGTGTGCCTGAAAGAGAGAGAGAAACATATTAATGTCTGATATGTAATGCTTTTTTTGGATGTTGATATATTGGCAGCTGTTTCTACAGTATTTTGTGCATGTTGTGATTTATATCTACATTCACCTTCCTGTCTCCTTCCTCTCTAGATCTTTTTCCATAATGTCACTCCTCTTGTTTACCTCTCTGGACATTTACCTCTCTTTACCTCCTTTAACCCTTTCTCAGTCTCATCCATACATTTTTTCTGTCTCTCTAAGATGGCCGTGAGCCCTATAATCATCTGCCTCCTGTCACTGGTTGGCTATGGTTCATCCCACCCTTCTCCTCCTCCTCGCGGATGCAGTGTGGATGTGGACCCTCCCTACAGAGTGCTGTGTGACCTGGAGTCAGTCTGGGGTGTGGTTCTGGAGGCTGTGGCCTGCAGCGGTGGTCTCGCCTCTCTGGTCCTCGCTGTGCTCCTGCTTGTCAAGCTGCGCTCCATTTCTGACCCCGCCAGGCGCTCCGGCATGGGGCCTCTTCTGCTGCTCCTTGGCACGCTCCTCGGCCTTTTCTCCATCTCTCTGGCTTTCCTGGTGGGGAAGAACCAGGCACTCTGTGTGGTCCGCAGGGCCTTCTGGGGGCCTCTTTTCGCCCTTTGCTTCTCCAGCTTGCTGGTGCAGGGTGTGAGGCTCAGGAGGCTGGTGGCTGGCAAGACGAGCCCATCGGGCAGCTCCTTGGCGGCACTCGGCCTGGCCTTGGCCTTGGTTCAGGGGATCATCTCTGCTGAATGGGTCCTGCTGACTGTTGTCAGGGAGGGTCACCCAGCCTGTGAATATCCACCTTTGGACTTTGCACTGACATGCAGCTACACTCTCGGGCTTCTCCTCATAGCCATGGGGCTTTCTCTGGGGGTGGTGCTCTGTGGAGGAGAGTTTGGGGCAGAGGGAGGAGGTGGGAGTGAAGAAGACAGAGATGGAGAGAGTGACAAACGGAGATGGAAGTGTAATGCTGTTTGGCTTTTCCTGTCTAGTTTGGCATCAGCATTGCTGTGGGTGGCCTGGCTGGGGTTTTATCTATACGGCAGCCAGGCGCTGAGGGGAAAGGGGAAAGGAGAACGGTTAGGAGGGGGAGGGAAGAAGGATGTTAAAGTGCTGGATGAGCCTGCGCTGGCAGTGGCCCTGGTCATTCAGGGCTGGATCCTGCTTCTGTTCCATGCTATTCCAGAGGCGCACCTGTGTCTCCGAAAACCTCCAGAGTCCAACACACAAGATTTCTTCGACACCAGTCATACGTCCCCTCCTCCACATTTTGGAGATGAGCTTCCTCCACACTCTCACCGACCCTTCCCAGAAAACCAGGCATTTTCCATGGAGGAGCACAGTGCAAGTAGGCCTTTGTAATGTGTGTGTGTGTGTGTGTGTGTGTGTGTGTGTGTGTGTGTGTGTGTGTGTGTGAGCTTGTTTTACTAAATGTGGAGGGTCCAAAAACCAGAAGCCCACTATACTTATGGGGTCTAACGGCTTTGTGGGGACCAAACTGCTGAACCCCACAAGTTTAAATGGCTGAGGGTTAAGACTTATTGTTGGGGAAAAGGTTGGGGTTATGCAATCAGCTGTGCTGGTTAAGGTCTGGGTAATGGGCTTGAGGGTGCATTATGTCAATAGCAGGTCCCCACAAATATAGTAAAACAAGGATATGTGTGTGTGCATGTTTGCATAAAAGAGATAAGGAATCTGTGTCAAAGGAAATTTCATTTGTTTTAACCTGATTCACATGATGCCTTCAGCTGGAACTCATTAGGTCATATTTTCAACAAAATAATAACAATATTGGTATTTGGTGTTTTACAGTAAATCATAGGAACAACATTGCTAGGCAACTGACGACAAAAATGGATGTCGCCTTGATCCCTTTCCAAAACCGGTGTATGACTTTGTGTTTTCTGCATTCAAAAAAGTGTTGACAATAAAAGTAACAAACTTATAGGTCTGACAGTTTACACCAATAATCCAATCAAAGCTAACGTTTGAGTATGAAAGGTGTCTCTAGTTAGCGGGTTCATTTATAGTGGATTTCAAGAGTGACTAGGAGCAGTGTCCAAAAGTTCACTTGACCATTAGGAGTCCTCCAAGATGGCATTAAATTAAATAAGAGTTCCTCTACAAAGCTTTTCACAAAGAAGCTGAAAGTAAAGTTGGCTACGTAACAATAACAAAACTTATAATTTGCTAATTTAAATCATAAATTAAATTGAATTATGCATTGCATTAAATTAGTTTATCAAGATAAAAAAAATAAATTGATTAAAATTTCAATTAACTAAAGTAAAGTTCATTAAAGTAAAGTTTATTTAAAAAAATAATTAAATCAGATTTAAAATTTTCATTTAATTAAAACTGATAGACAGCACTACAAACTGCATATGTCTGCGGTGATCAATTTGATTCGATGGTGAGCTGATTTTATTCTTATTAACTCACCTACCATCAAAATAAACTTCTGAAAGTTCATTTCTGTAGCCTTTGACTTTGAGTAGGCCTGACTTCCTGCACTTTCTCTACTGTCTCTCAGACTTACAACCTGCTTTTAACAGTAAACTGCTTTGTGAATTACTCTAACACCAAAAAGTAGGAGTCCTAAAGTTAGGACTGAACTAAAGCTAAACCTGACCTTCTTCTTAAAGAGCTAGTTAGGACCTACTTTAAGCTTTAGGATTTACATTTTTTAAATATGGTCCCATTTCTCTTGGTGCACATCTTAAAAAGAATCAAAATATCCATAAAACTGCCCAAACCACTACTGCAGATTGATCCATTTTACCACTGTCCATCTGTATTTTACAGACAGAGTCTTGTTTATATCCAACAGCAACATTCTCAAAAAATCACAACTTATGCATATACATTTTGTGAATATATATATACTAGATAAACTTTATTATTGGTATCATAATATAACAACAGTGACATTGTAATTTCAATAATTTCAAATGGACTTTCAAATGGACTCTTCTTCCAAAAACCGTAACCATGACCCCACTTGAAGGCAACACTACATCAGTCATATCTGTTATTATATCATCTATTAGAATATGAACTGTTTTTTTATGTAGTTCATAAAAACTACACTTTAACAAAAATGATCTGAATAATTTATGTGAGAGTCAAATAAAAAAACAAACAAAAAAAAAAGACATTTTCACAGGTAAATTTTCACAGGTAAAGCATCAATTGCACTGTAGATCCTGTTCAACTTGGAAGTTGTCTACCATATCACCATACAACCACGAGCTCCATGTAGGTTTTGTTTGCAGCAAAGTGTGGCTCATATAGCAACTGTACACAATCCAGAATCCAATTAAACCTCATGAAATGCCTGATTATCCAACAGGCTTTTCTACAGGGAGATTTATGAGTCATTTCACTTTGCCTGTTCTCCATGTTTGGTTGAAGCCAAATGCACAGATGAGGAGCTAAAACCATGAGGAAGCAGGACAAACAAAGAATGGAGGCAGTGGCAGAAAGGAATCATGAAGAGTGTCTCTGAGCAGCAGCAGACGACTCATGATATTTGTTGGCGATTGTACAGCTGACTGAGGAGGAGACAACTCACAATAGTGGAGTCATAAGGGAAAGTCATGTAACAGTGTAAGCAAGTAATGTAGGATTTACTTTTGTGGTTGAAAGGATGGTGCTAAGGCTTCTGTTACCTGGCCCTAATGAACGGTGTGGTGTAAGCCATGTTTCAGCCTCCCTGTCTCTATAATCTCTGCGGTAGAGTAAGTAATGTGTTAATATCATAGACAGGAATATGAAAATAGAGCTATGAAAATAAGTCATGAAAAGATAACAGGACTTTTTCTTTTAAAGTGTGATATCTAAAAGAAGAAATAACAATCTCTTCGCAAACGTCAAGTTGAATTATACAACACACTAGTTTTGACTAGACGTATTGTAGTAGTTTACAGTGGCTAATGTTAGAAAACATTAGGTCCTAGATTGATACTGTGTGACTGACATTATTGAGTCAATTCACCGACTCTGTGATGCCTCTGTCACACTGTTTAGTATGTCACAGATCCATATTTGACTGTTTTTTTATCATAAAAGAAAAACAAGAAGAAAACACAGTACACCTCATTACAGGACCTGTTTGTTGTTTCCTGCTTGCGCTCCCAATCCACTCCCTCACAGTCAGCTCATCTAATAATGAAATCTTCAAAGCATCTGACTCCTATATTGGGAAATAAAGGGAACCTCAGTGTGCCAATATCCTGTAATTTGTAACAATAAATAGCACACACACATACAGTATCTACTGCCCTCCCATTTTATTTGACTACACTACTTTCTGCTGACAATCCCACAATGCATTGCTTCACATTTTATAGATGCAAAAATTAACAGTTATGTAACCCTACAGCTGTCGGTGATGACACAAATGGATGATGATTCATATGGGTCAAAAATCTCAATTTACTGCTCACTATACATAAACTAATGAGCGTCAGTTATATAGGGAGAAGTGAATGACTGAACAGGGGAGTGATTTCAGATAAGGCCATGGTCTTAAATGCACAGCACGCCCATATGGGTGTTTTTAATTACAGATACAATTCAGTATGAAGGTGGGTGGAGCTGGCCTGGGAATAGAGTTGTGAAGTGGGAGTGGCCACTGGTTCTCAGAAGTGTTTTCCCCATTCGGTATTTCATAGAAACACGTGACTTTCCCAATTAGTGCATCATTCATACAGGTTTATGATATAACCACCAAATGAAATTATTTCAGCTTTGTGTCTGAGAAATCGTGTTTTGCCTGTTATTTCAGCATGGCAGCCGGCTCAAAATCCTACAATACCCATGGGCATCAGCCAGTCAGAAACGTGAATCAGAGCAGTAACAGATTCTAATACACATTAGTCTTACATAATTGAAAAAGTGAATTAATTTTAGCTGCAGATTGTGTTTTTAGCTTTCTCAATATTGTGATCTTGAGCTTCCACAAACTGTTAGCAGTACACGTCACAGTGTTTTAAGCTAGGTGACTTTCTGTTTTTTTTTCTGAAATGCACCTTTTACATTTACCTTGTACCTCAAACTTTTTATATCCACAGGCTTGTACCATTGACATTTTACCAATGCACCAGATATCTTCTAATGCAGTGTTATAATTGTACTGGTGACTCATTCAGTTAAGTTTTAAAGTGCTCCCAGAGTCGTGTAACTTTGTTGGAAAAATGAACAGGATTTTTACTTCTAGAAATCAGCTGCGTCTAAAATAGGAAATAACTTGTCCCATGTTGCAACTCTTTTGTGTGAGGTCACCAATCTCCATGCGAGTGAGCTAAAAGCTAACAGGAGAGTCTGGAAGTTGTCAAAAGTACAATCTATAGACACCGACAAACACCTGAAAAAGGTCTAATAAACAATAACTATTAAAATCACTTGTATAAGTTTACCATGAGTGGGAAGGGCCTTTGAGTTTCCCAGCTGGAGGAAAATTATACTGAAGTATAATTAATGTATAATTGTCTCTGGAACCATCATAGAGTACATGTGACACATGTTAACGTGACACCTGTAACGTTTGTGTGCTTTACCTTGCTTGGTCTGTCAGCTCTCCGGAGTGGAACATACCACAGCAGCCATGGGAGCATCCGTCCTGGCATAGCCTTCAGAGGTCACGTCTACCAACCCACTGAGATGGCTCTGGTGATGAACGGTGGTACAGTAAGTACGGCAGAAATACTCACTCTGTGTATTTCCCTCTCTCTCTCAGTCACTAAATAACCAGACTTCTGCCTCTCTCTTGTAGATGCCCACAGCACCAATCAACTACACTGGACGCCGGTTATGGTAATATGGGACAAGAATTGAAGAGGATACACTCAAGTCACATTTGTGATGGAGGAATTTTATGTTGCCTAAGAAGAATAAGAGGGAAATATTAAAGACATCACATATCACTCTGAGTGGATTTGATGGGAGATAAATATGTTTCATGTATTTGTGTTTCTGCACACATGTATGAATTTGATATATTAAAAACAAACTGTAATATTTATTTTTGCTGAAATGTTCTCGATTGCCTCTTAATCAGCAGACTGGACATGAACTCAGAAGGGAGGGAAGAGAAAGTGATGCAGCTTCCACAGTTAAGGATATTTTGTCACAGAGTGACAACATTTACAGTGCATTATTTTGATCAGCACAGATCAGCAACATACAGTCTTAATTGTAATATGTAAATACACTGATGAGGAGTGTAGAGGGAGAGCTAACGTTATTACATATGAGGCAGAAGTCATTGTCTAGTGTGGCATTTAAGGGGAGTAATTGAATGAGCTGCTGTTAGATCGTGACAGAGTCAAGATTTAAGGATAATTTGAATGTAGTGAACATTTCGCCTGAGCAATTCTAAATCAGTGCTGTTACTTACTGATGCCTGTTCATCAGTGATGATGATGCCTGCTTCATAAAAACTCAATTTCCTTCTCTTTCTGTTTGGCATCAAGCTACAACTCAGAAAAAACACTAGGTTGTTTATGTAAATTACCTGCATCCACCCACAAAGCTTGCTTGGCCTCTGTATTTCATGCTGGAGAGCCCCAAAGGACTCATAGTGTTTTTCTCTCCACATCTCCATTCCATTATCAGTGCTATTTAGTTTGGCACATTTCACTGTGGGTATAGATAAACGTCATGTATTTAACTTGTGCAGGGTTCTGGAGGATTGTTAAGTGATTTAAAGGGTGAAAGATGAGTCTCCAGCTCATGGGTAACTAGTTTTTAATAAGCATATCATAATAAGCCATTTAATACTGCAATAGCTATTCTGCAGTACAGAGTTTACTGTTGGAGATTGTGATTTTGCACTTTATCAGCGCTGATTTTGTCTGGGCATTGTGATATTTGAAATGTATGATTATTTGAGCTGCATGTAAAAGTACAGTTTAAAGGTACATATTTTGTCAAACTTAACGTATTTTGAGTGTTTTCTAGAATTTTGATATACATATTGAAGGAAATTAACAGTTTTAGTGCTGAGTTTCAAAGCTGATTCTTGACACTGAAAACAACGGTTGACAAAACCAATCTCAAGTGCTCAGCCAATCTACAATGCCATGACAACTGGGCAAACTCTATGTGCAGAGGAAGACCGCGCGGTAGGGCTGAAAGCTTGGTAACATCTACTCAAAGGACCTTGAGGTTGGACTGTTTTGTCAACCAGTGTCATTGTTCTTTCACTCATATCTTCCCAAGGTTTTTCTGGATTCAATAACACTATGAGCATTACTTGCGCTTTATATGAGATCAGTGGCTGCATCTCATGTATTCTGGCTTTCAGGATCTCCTTAAATTTCAAAATTCAATCCAATATAGAGAAAACTATCACTTTCATACATCACTGTGACTTTAACTGGTAACATTTCATCAATACTTGTTATGCTGTATTAATGACACTGCTAAGTTTGGCTAAAAACCTCTTCATGTTTGACTGGAGCGTTGCAGTTTCCATGTGTCGAGCAAGATTCAATCCAGGATAATTTATCCAGTTAAAATAAGGTTCAAAGAACAGTCACCATGTTCATGCTGTGACCATTTCCTCTCGCTGTGAGACTTAACTAAATAACTAAATAACTAAGTTGTCAACACTCGTTGTGTTCAGGTGTGTAATATTGTACAATGAAAATATTTTAATCATGTAAATATCCAAATGTGAATAAGCACTGGTATTTTCCTTTAAGATGCTCTTATGATGATACCACTGTCACTGTTTTATGGCAGCGTAACATGAATGTCTGTAATGTGATTTGCACAAAGTGGCGAATACATCAGTGCACATTTTCTGTTAATTATTGTCTGGTCATTGAACTGATCCTTCTTCAGCCTCCTGTCCTTTATGTTATGCTAAGAAAATATGCAACTAATTGATAAAGCACAAGCAAATCATGAAACACCTGTAAAACTCTTCAAATCCAGAAATGCTGCAAGTCGTACAACAATGGAACTACACTGGGTTACAACACAAGTGAGGGAACAGTAAAACTGATGTCCATGTGTCATTTTTTGTAAAGATTATTCTGAAAAGCATGCACACATAAAACAAATACATTAATTCACAACCACTCTCCTTAAAGAGTCACTCCAGACCCAGCTTGTATTACAAACTCATCACACACATTTAAGAAATCACAGAATACCAACTTCTAAGAGCCAAGTGAAGACCTGCTTGATGTCTCCCCTCTGTGTGATGTGTTGAATCGTGAGCCAATTCATCTCCTAAAAATAGCAGGGGAGCAGCTGTACTAAAATCCCTCCCTGCATGTGGGAGCGTTTTAAAAGTAGCCTGAGCTTTATTTAAGTCACAGCCCCTTAAATGCATAAGTTGTAGGTGGAATTTGGGAATGCAACCGCGCATGGAAGCTGTAGTTGGCAGCTGGAGTTGTAGGTGGCTTCTTAAAACTCTCACTGCAGGTTGAATGCTGCGTGCCACGTGGCTGTAGGAGAAAACTGATGCAAATGCTTGTCATAGGCTGTAGTCAGATGCTATCAGAGGCAATAGGCAGAGGCTGGGAAACCAGCTGGCCCCTAGAAGCTGTAGTCAAAAGCTGGGGATAACGTGTTAGACGTAGATGTGTTCAGTGGGGAGTGGTACCATCTGCATAAAAACACTCTGGCTACCAGAGACTGCAGAAGGATGACAGGCAGTATAGTTGCAGGAGTTATCTGATGTTAGGGGCTGAAAGATGTAACTATCCATCTGGCTGTCAAAGGCTAAAGACAGCTGCAGATGCAGATGACTGGTCGTGGCACTGGGCCTCCGACTTCTGAGGCTAAAGGTGGAGGCTGGGGCTGAGATTTATTCCCAAAGTATTCAAGCCAAAGCTGAAGCCTGGAGCATGCCTGAAATGAACTAATTTGAGGAAAGTGTCGTCCCAGCACTTTTAAATTGGTTCCAAATGGCCATACAAAACAAGCATACCCAAGATGCGATTAGCGTTCAAATAGGGGTAATGGTGCACTTTTTCAGATCGTCTCTCCTCCAATGCACTCATGGTGACAGAAGTAGCTGTGTGAAGAATGGAGGGTGTTTCAAATGCTGTTCAGCCTTCTGACAAGCACTTAGTTTGAAGCATACTGATGCCTGACACTGCAACTTGCAGCCGAAAGCTACATGTCACAATCATGTCATATCATAGTTACTGTAATTATCAGTTTTCCACTTGCAAACAGCGATCATGTCAACACAGGAGTGGCATAAAAAGAATATTTGGGCAAATGTCTGTGCTGACCATTAACGACACTGATGAGCTTGTGTGGTACATTCTTGAAGAGGTAAATGCAGAGCCCAAGACATGACATCTGGGGGGGGAAAGTAGCAGATATTTGGCCAACATGACATCTCCCACCATCTTTAAAACATTGTCATAGTTTCCTCCACATACTGAGCAAGAGACCTTGTTGGACACCTCTCCTTAACTCTTGTTACACTTCTGCCATGACGTTTCCTTCCCTGATTGCTACAACATTCACACTGTGCATGTGCACTTCCATGTCACATAGTTCTTGTTCACGTTAAAAAGCTCCCAACAAAGCAGGATTCATGTGTGTGGGTATTGACTACTCAGCCTGGGTGGGAAGGCCCACCCAAAGCCAGTTGATTGACAGCTTGGCCCATCAAGGAATAAGAAAAGCAATAGGGAAAACAAAAAGGATCCATAACAAAGATCGGCCATTACAAGCTGCGTCAATGGAATCAAATGGTATAGTCTCCTAAGTGGGCTTGGTCAGCTGGTATGAAATGTGACAGTAGCAGTGCTATAGCTAATTATTTGCAAATCTGCATCCTTTGGACAAGAAAAGACAGTTTTCAGTTTTAACTTTTAATTTATGGTTTCACATATAAATCCCTTTAAATTTCTGTTTACTTGGTTGGAAAGCGACATCGGCAGCATGGCAGTGAAACCAGACCAGAGGAGGGGAGAGGAGACATGACGTTGCCAGAGAGTGTCGTGCTGAAACACAGACACGTCTCAAACAAAGTTAATTTTCTCTTGCTTGGTCTGTCCGGCCTCTGGGGTGAAAGAATCTGTCATAATCTGTGCTCACCTCCACTTCTCCCAGTGGAGTGAATAGAGAGGAAGAGGCAACGCAGTCACGAAACCCACGTGACACAGATACAGGAAATTATTATTAAGTGTGCCATCTGCTTTGTCAACTGTCTCTGCGGAAAAGCAAATGCAATAGGAAAAATAGAAGGAATAAAAATACATGAATGACAGTATATAAAATAACTACTTTTAAAAGTGTTCAGAAATTAATATGCAAAATAAAATGAAAAAATAAATAAATGTATATTCTTAAATATATTAATTAATATGTACAGAATAATATAATTATTCCTTTATATTTGGTTGTTTGTCTTTATATTTCCCTTCTATTTAATCTATCTATTTATTTTTTACAAATTTATTCTTTTTTTATGGCACCGCAATGACTCTATAATTGTATAGTATTCAAAGAAAGGAGCATGACAAGGATGAGGGTTGGTCATACAGGTTTCACGAATAAGCATGCTATTGGTAGATGTGAACATAGCAGACTACAGGAAACGGTAGAGCATGTTTTTTATACTGTCCTAGATATCAACAAAAGAGACAGATACTTGAATTTGCACTCCAAAGGAATTATTTTCCCTTGATGTAGGATACAGGGCTATTTTCAGATTTTCACAAAACACAGGAATTATTAGGAGAGTTTTGTAATAGTCACATCCACTCTCCAATCCAGAAGACGGCGGTAAGGCACCTAAAAGCTAAGAAGAAGAAGAAGAAGAAATAGAAGAAGAAGAAGAAGAAGTAGTCCGGACGCTCCGGACGCCTGGCTCGTCATTAAGACGAAAACTACTTCCAGGTCAAGAAACTACGCTGGTGCCCACGTGAACTATCAAAGTGTACAAAGTTAGTAAACCGCTCATCGACTTTATGTGTCATGATACGTTGTGCAATTATGATAAAGTAGTCTCACTTACCGACTAATTTGTCACTTCATCGACTTTACCTTTTAGCTGCTATTTAGCTGCTGTTAGCTAGCTAGCATGTTTTACCAAGAGAGTGCTATGAATACACCTGGTCTGGTCATTCAAAAATGTTGTTTAGCACTGTTGTCACATTATATTTTTTTAACGTTACATATCAATTTGTTTTTCAATCTTAACATATCTGATGTTTTAGCAAGGCTGCATCTCAACATGTCTTGATTCTAGTGTAGGTGCTCTGGGAGTGTGAGCTGATATGAACACTTGGACTGAAATCATGTTCATTTTTATGTTTCCGACAGAATCTGATGAGGACGTGATCTTTGTTTCCACAAAGACTGCACATAAGTCCCAAGAGATTATTATTGACCATGTAGTGATTTGCCAAATCATTCTGTTTATCCTCTGAACTCTAATAATATGTGCTAACCAGTTAACACTGCCAGGCAGAAGGGTAATCCAGGGCTAAAAGCCTTGTTGTAGGACAAATTTCACATGCACCCAGTGTTTTTGATACATAACCAAATTCAATTTGCCACAATTCTTTGTTCCCGGCAGGCAAAGCAACTAGACCTGCAAAGAGACATTGATCAAGAGTCCCTTCCCAGTCAGCCAGTCAAACCCTGGGTTAGTGTACTGCTCTGTTAGTCACACTTGCACATACACACTCAGTCCATGTACCTGGTATTGCTGTTTAATCTTGGAGAAAGGCCATATCTTGTAGTAATTGTATTTCTCTTACCAGACAAGCCAGAGGTCTGTTGTGGTGGAGAAGCCAGTGAAAATGACGATGGAGGAAGACAAGAGAGAGGAGCATCATATAAAGAAGAAGAAACACAAGAAAGGACAAGCTGCTGTGCTTGAAAACAAAAACTGTACTGTTGATGATGGGAGCCTAGCAGAGGTGAAAAAAGAAAAGAAGAAAAGAAAAACAGTTGAGACAGTAGTTACAGATGAGGAGCTGTTGGATGGAGGCAGTGAAAAGAAGGAGAAGAAGAAAAAGAAGAGGAAAATTGTTAATGAATCAGTGAATGATGCCAATGGTTCTGATGCCATGGAGTCAGCACAAGATGAAGGAGTCAGCAAAAAGAAGAAGAAGAAGAAGCAGCTGCAGCTGGCTGATGATATGAATCAAGTAGAAATTGCACAGAGTTTAGTCACAGAAGAAAGGAAACAAAGGAAAGAGAAGAAAGTAAAAAATAAGAGTGTACAAATTAATACTGAAAATGTAAAGATGGAGGAAGAAGAAGAAGAAGAAGAAGAACAGCAAGCTGTAAAGGATAAAGTACCAAAGAAAGCCAAGAAGGCAAAAAACAATATTTTAGCTGTAAACACAGAGGTGACTGAGGAGCAAAGTAAAGAAAAGAAAAAGAAGACAAAGAAATCCATTGTGGAAGATACAATTGTAGATATGGATGGGATAACTAAAACCAAAAAGAAACCTAAAGTGGGTGAGAATGGAGTGAAGTTAGAAACACCAGACGGCGAAACTGAGGTTGAGGAGGTAAAAATGAAAAAGAAGACAAAGAAAGAGGTGAAAAGTAAAGAAGAAAATGGAGCAGAAACATTTGAGGACAAAGAAAACAACAAAAGGAGCAAAGCAGCTTCAAGCAAAAAGTTGAACAAGGACAATATGCAGAAAGAGAGTGAGATTGTTATCACAGAGGAAGGAAAGACTGAGCAAAGGAAAAAAGGAAAAAAAGAAAAGGGTAGAAAAGCTTCAGCGGAGGTCAGCGAGGTAGAGGAGATAGAGCCAAAGAAAAAGAAGAGGAAAAAGGAAAGCCCACAAAGAGAGGATGAGCCATTATTAATGAAATGTCAAGAAAATGATGAGGATGGGCAAAGTAGGGAAACAGTGGCAGGTGACACAACCAGCAAGAAAAGCAAAAAGAAGAGCAGCTCTGTCCAGGTGAAACAGGTGGAGAATGATGATGGAGTTGAAAGTGGTGCAAAAAAGAAGAAGAAGAAGAGAAAGATCAAAGAAGAGGTGGAAGACCAGCAGGTGAGTGTTTATTGTGAAAGGTTATCGACACTAAACAGATTTTATTTTTTCTTTTATTTCTGCACTGGTAGTGAACTGCATTTGTGTTTCATTGTATTTCAGGAGTCTCCCCAAGTGGACGTGGTGTTTCTGTCAGAGAAGAGTGGAAACACTGATGAGATCAACATCAACCAGGTAAACGGGGCTCTCATTATCTGTACATCACTGTGTTAGGTGTGACATTTATTGTTGTATATAACCTGGCTAGGTAAAAAAAAAAAAAAAAAAAATCCGCCTACCTTGCCTCTAAAATTCACTCATTAACAAATTATATCTCATTTATTTAATCCACCTGAGATAATCGTCTCCTGATTGTAGTTTTGTATTTACCAAACGATATGAGCGTGACATCGATCTTCTCATCTCACTCTCAGCAAGAAAGTGAATGAGATTCAACATACAAGTTTTTAAATATTTTTGTTGATGGTATTTTTAGATTATTTTTAGATAGCAGTTTCACTTTTCTCCTAAATAACATTGTAAATTGCATTGAGATGTGTTTTTGTCTGTCATAGGAGAGAAGAAAGGCTCTACAACTGGAGATTGACAAGGCCTCCCAACCTGAAAAACCAGCCAAACCTTTGGTCAGTATCTGTATCCGTCCTGGAAAGAGAATAAAAAGAGAGAACATCTCCGGTGTTCTAGTATTCCGCTTTCACGGAAGTCGGGGGGGGTTCTGAGAGACCGATTTAAAGAAAGAATAGACTAAATTGATGCAGCAGGGGCAGAGATAACCTTACTTTTAATCCATAGAATGAGCCAAGCTTCAAAAAGTGCTTGGACCATCATTTCCCATAATGCAACTCTAGTATTTTTCATTAGACTCTAATGATATCACCAGGGTTAAGTTCCTCTAGAGACACAGAAGACATAATACAACTGTTTCCTCAGGCTGTGTCGTACTTCTCATAACAAGGAAACTGAGCTTCCTCTCAACACACTGTAGTTTCTAATAACTACTACAACTAGTCTCTAATATTTGTCCCCATCGTCTGTGTTCCTCAGGGTTTGGGTCAGTGGAGCACCGCCCAGTTCGACAGCTCTCAACAGCAGCAGAAGTTCTTACGCTTGATGGGCGGCTTCAAAAAGGGTTTCCAGCCGGCTGAAGCAGGCGCCGGACAAGCAAATATGGCAATGGGGAAAAACGCACAGCAGCAGTTACAGCAAGGGCTTATGGGAGAGTTTGAGCGCGCTCACTCACGCAGAATGGACTTCAGTAACAGGGGGGCAGGTCTTGGGTTTTCTGCACCATCCAATAAGAAGTTCTCTATCGACATCAATGCATGTCGATCTGTCCGCTTTGACAATTGATCAGTGTGATCAATGGGTTTTTTTTGTTTGTGTAGTTTTAACTGTTGAGTCATTCACTGAGCTTTTTGCTCAGCTTCACTGGAAGGACTTGTATATAAAGCTAATAATGAACACACAATACAAAAGCTCTTTGTACATATTGTATATTAAACAACATCCTGCTTGAGGAGCTGGAATGTTTTTACATAAAAGCTCGTAACTGAGACTGACCAGTTGCTCTGTAGAGTTTGCTGTGATTTCAAATGGGTCACTATTAACATTGTGATTGTGTGAAAAAGTTGTTTGTATTTAACTTTTCTCTGTTGAAGATGTTCCAGACTAAGAATTTGACCTTTTTTAATTACTTTTATACTAATAATGGCAAAAAGTGACTAAAAACGTAATACACGTTGTTAGATCACACACAGATTCCATCCCTACTGTTACACATCTAATAGCCTGGTGTTTATATGTTTTTATATGTTTATATGACAGGAAGAATAGAAAGGATGTTCAGCAATGTGTTAGAGAGAAAGAATGCTTGCAGTGTTTGTGTTTGAGGTCATTGTCCTGCTAGTTGAGTAGATGTGCAGCTGTGTGCACACTGCTGCGGACAATGGACAGCCAAAAATCACTTGTTACCTTCTTTCATTACTGAATACAAAATAACTTGAATCAGCCCTGCTAAAGAAGGAAACTCGTGTTAGCAGTTTCTGATAGTCATTTTATTTCAATCTTGCACATGACATCTGCTGTAAAGTCAAGAGAGAACAAGGAAAGACAAAGTCACTTTAAAGATAAAGTGGAAACATTTCTGCTTGTTATCGGCTCATCTAGTTTTATGTGCTGGAAAACAAAAAATATTTGACTATCATATGATGTGGTACTTCAGTATTCCGTTCTTGGTAGCTGTGTTGTAAGTGAACATTAGGCTCTCAATTACATTCATTTTCCTTTTAAAACTGCTGTGTGGACATTTTTCCATCGCTTGACTTGAAAAGGTGTAAGGAAAAATGAGCCTCAATAGATTAAGATGTCTTTAAACCAATGTTTGTGTCACTTTTACAGGCAAGATATTAAAAACAAGTCAGCCATACATCATGAAAAGTTTCAAAGTGCAGCGCTCACTATGCAGCTTCTTTGGTCAGATCCTCATTTCAGACCAAATGCAGCCACTGCCCTTCGCAATGATCTCTGCTGACAAAACAGTGTTCATCTTAAATCTTTCCATGAGATGTAGTCTGAATCTTGTCTCAACCAAATCTTACAATTATTCACCCAGCAACATGCTTCATCCTTCCAGTGACCTGCTGATCTAAACTTTGCTGTAATACTTTCTAGCAAAGTGCCTTTCGTCTCTAGTTGCAAAATCCTGATGCTTTTAGCTTCTCAGCATTAGTGGTCACTTTGAAAGTTTGGCAGCTGCGATGTACCCCCTTCGAAATAGTTAAAAATGTCTTAACAACAGTCGCTACACTGTTCAGAATATGTCCTGACAGGTTTGCAGATCGGTCTGCTTCAGTGTTTTCAAGCTGGCACAGTCAAATGATGACACAATGTGCAGAGGGAAAGCTATTCAAAAAACACTTATAAAAAAAGACATGAAACCAGAAGTAGCCAACAAATTGCACGTCGTCCAGTCTCTCAGAAAACATCTGAAACAGAGCTGAGAGGCTACTTGACGACAGTGAGTGAAGGAGGGAGGGGAAGCTGTGTGTTCCTTGTGGAAGAGGGAAGTTTCAGGGCTCTCATGCCTGTAGATACTCCGGCTGCACTCGCGCAACTTTGCGGAACTCTTTGGTGTGAGTCCGTGGGCACTGCATCTCACACCAGCTGATGGGAACCATCTGGGCACCTGGTTCACCAAAGAAAATATGAAAAAGATGTGAGAAAATACAGACAAAACCAAAACCAGTCAACATATTGTCACATTATTAGCAACACAAATATAAATTTAAAAGCATCAAGAGTAATTCGAAACCACCAAGTATAAAACAAATTAGGTGCCTGGTACGTGGTCTATGTGTGTTACAGTACATGGAAGAAATTCTTAAAAACTACATTACTTTTTTATTTTTTATTTAAACAAGATTTGAGCCTTACAAAGTATGGATTGAGACTGATGTTTTCTTACTGTAAATACAGCTGAGTTACATCCATCAGATGTATTTAACATAAGAGGAGCATAAACCTGACTCACTACAAGGAGTAAAAATCTGGATGCAAATTGCAGCTCACGTCTCTCCCTTTGCACCCTCCAAAGGATGTGCGCCTCAGTTTTAAAACTTCTGATAGACAGCAGGTGCTCATCATGCAGTTCGCCAGGCGACACTCCGGTCAGTCATGGGGGGGGGGGGGTACATTTCAGTAATCATTTTTGAGTTTCACCATTTCCACTGCTCTCAGGTTGAAAACACTTAAAACTCTGTTTTTGTCTCTGTCACAGTTACATTAAGATGCTTGGAACACAGATTAATAGATCAAATATTAAAAGATTTGCACTTTTTGAAACTGAAATAGCAATTATGCTACAGCTAGACAAACAGCACTCACTATGAAAATGGCCAAGTGACAATAACTGTCTTGACAGTTACTCCCGCACCACCTTGTATTCCAACAGGATACTATTTGTGTGGGTAGGTTTGTGCTGGAATCCTCCCATGTTGAGGTTTGGAATATAAAAAAAAAAGAAAAAAAAAAAACAGATTGAATTGGGCATCAAGAGTTACCTGCTTCACTGTGTGCCACCACGACTCCCAGCTCATTCTCTGCTGTTGTCAACAGGTAGTTAGACTGAACGTCACCAAGAGAAATCTGGCATCAGATGTCAAGGATCAGCAGCACAAAGACAAACAACACATACTAAGACCAAAGATAATGAAGCAGCATGTTCTTTGAATTCACTAACAGTAAATATCCACAGGCAGCTGCAATGGATTTAAAAGTAACGTGAAAATGTGCATCTGTCCAGCATCAAACCACTTTTAATAAGGTCTTTGAGTGAAGGGCAGGTGAAGGATACCACTTTCGCCAAGACGATGTCACCAGGTCTGAAGCTTTTGTATGTCTCCACCTGGAACAATAAAGAGAAGGATTTACACCAAGTTTGTCATGTCAGTCTCAGAAATAAACAGGAGCTGCATACATAGCCGATGAGGAGATTACTCATTCCAACACACCTTGTCTTTCTCTGTTGCCCGCACATCTTCTTTTCTGTAGAATCAAAGTGAGCTCAGTTTTATGAAGGAATCAACTGAAGACCAAACACTATTGCTGCACTATAGAGTCAGTTCTGGGGTTACCTGATAGTCCCTCTGAAGCGGTCCTTCAGCGGCGTGGAGCCTACATAAAGGATGTGGACCTTGGCGAACCTGGGGTTGATGCTGGTCACCTGTCCAATCAAAGAAAGGCAAGGCTCATGACAAACCACCTCTTTAATAAACAAAGCTATATCTAAACTGTGCAAGATCACCTAAACAGATCAAACAATTACACAAAAAAAAGCATCTGATTCCTTTGCATACCTTACAGGTGACTATTGCTCCTACATCTGGCAGTAGTTGTGTTTCTGTTTCCCTCACCACTGAGATCACAGGTAACTACAAAAAGACAAAAATCATGCACATTAATGCACATACAGGTCACACAAAACCCGTTCAGTTTTTATAACTCCAGTTTAAAAACAGCCTGAAGAAAAGACCTGTCAAACAAAATGTGGTGCATATTTCATCACAGACGCTGAACAAACCTATTTTTGCTTCAGTCACATTGACAAAGGTTTGCGCAATACCTTTACTCAGGCACTCCCACATCACATGCCTGATTGCTTCTGCAGCTTTCACCACCTCTCTCCTACACACACCCACCACACCCCTCACCTCCTCGCCCTCGTTTTTCTTGAGCACGTAGCCTGCTAGTGAGGAGTATATGTAGCCGTGCCGCAGATATACTCCTGTGCCTGGAATACAGTCGTCTATGCTGCATAGTTTGTCACCTGAGTACAAAGAAGAGGAGGAAGACAGAGGTAGTGTCAGTGGAGGAAACACAAGAGAGGGCTGTTAGTGTGTTGGAGAAAAATTGTACTCTTACACACTACATGTCTGTGTTTTATAGGAGGAGGTGGACCATATCTGCTAACATCAGAATAAAATAATATACAGAATGCAATTTTGTGAGAAACATTAACCTCTGAAGTAAAAGAGTTTTGAGAGACACAAACCCAATGCCATTTTTAATGAGTGCGAATATTATTTAGGCCATAATCTGCTAACTGAATTGATAGCGAGACAAGTTATGTCAAAATCTTGGTGGATTACCATCTCAGCAAAACAATATCCTGACAATACACACTCCTATGCGCACACACGATATGATTTAGTTCATACAGCACCTTTTTCCAAACTAGCCCTTCATTTAAGCAGAACAACTATTTCTCTGCAATCATTTCTCTCGTCACTTTGAGCCCTTTAACGTTGGCATTAACATGACATGAAATGCTGATTATGCACGATTTTTGAAACTATGTTTCCATGTAGCTTTAACACATTAAGATGATAGCTATCGGAGCTCATACAGTTGTTAAGTAAGAAACATTTTTGTTGACATTTCCTGCTGCCACCTTCACAGTTAAACAGAGTATTTCCCATGGGTGAGTCAAAACAGGTGAGAGAAGGAATGCTGCTGTACTGCCCGAGGCGATGGGCAGGGCTGCAGAGGAAACCTGCCGTAGAAAGTAAAAGTCAGCAACTCACAGGTACAGTAATTACTCTCGTTTGCCGTAAAACAACGGCAGACAATTGCCCAGAACACACCTCCTCCGTTTGATATTCACCTGAATACAACTAGTGCGAAATTAAAAAGTTACGTTAACACTGCTAGAAGCCGAAGCCAAAGCCAAAGCCAAAGCCCACCCCACGCGTGGCAGCTGGAAATAATTAACAGAACTTTCCGCTGTCAGACCGCAGTTTAACTGTATTTCCCAGGAACGCGGCGATGTCTACAGAGAACAACATAAGTAGAAAATACCGAAACGCTCTGAAGTGTGGTGTAACCACATACTAGGCACTAGTAATGACAAAATGTAGGAGACTTACCTGGAACACACAGCTTCATGGGCGACATGTTTTCGAGAAGAGCAGTTTGTCAGCCGATTGGCTGTGACGTAAGGCTTGAGTCGATTCTGATTGGACGGTCTCACGCTGAGCGGAAAGAGAACGAGGACGGCTCGGTCCGCCATCTTTGTTGAGGCACACATGGGCTCATGCCATGCACATTCACAACGCTGCGACAAAGCAACATGGCATAAACATTCGCACACTATTTAACATGTGCAGTTTCTTACTTTTACTTAAACTACTTCTGCTACTTTTACTACGGGTATAAAGAATATTAGAAAAATAAGAAAACTTTAAGTAAGTACAAGTAATTCACATTTTACACATGAATACTTTCAAATCATGTCAAAATAAATGATCAACTATGGATAATAAGGACTCATTAAATGTATTCAGTGTGAATTTGATTAAGCATTTAAAAATATATATTTTTAAATGAACCATAATTGTGGCATGTGCAAAGCCAGTATTTAATAACACCCCTTTGCCACATGTTAAGCATGGGAGTGGAATTATTGCACAGATAGTGGGAAGAATGGATTCCACTAGATATTAGCCAGTTCTGAAGAAATGAAAATGACACAAGGCTGACTTCCACAAAAGAGACAATGATCCAAGGCATACCGGTACCTCCAAATCCACCATGAATAACTTCAAGAAACACAGGCTCTGACAGTTGCTTGTCTTAGATATCACTGAAAATCTATGGGTAGATCTTAAACATGCTGTGTGTGCAAGACAGTGTAAATGTATCTTGAAGTGTGTTCTGCAGGGAGAGTGGGTAAAGATTCCTAAATCAAGAAGAGGGGAGATTACTACGTACTGACTGAGTAGGGTGCCCAAATGTTTGCACATGCCACAATTGATGTCCATTTTATTAAGATCATGAAATAAAAAGTAACAGTGCATTAACATTTGGAGAAAAGCTGAGTTTTAATTGCCTGTTTGCTGCGGTCTCCGGGGTATGCTACTTCAAAAGTCATCAAAACATGTGATTTGCCCAGGGATGCTCAAACTTTTGCATGTAATGTCTAAAAGGCTTTGGCCCTTTCTAAGACCAGTGTGGGAAATACTGCAGAAGAATGTAGTTTCCTTTTAAAACTGAGACTGGACCTGATTTCTCCATAACCACATGATTCATAAGGACAGAGACAGAGACAGTTTTGTTGGAAAAAGATGCCAGACACTGATTTCATCACATAATGGCTCACAATATTTATTCTTTTTCTCACAATTCCACAGCAAACAGAATTCAGCAGTGCAGAGCATTTCAACTTGCCCCTTTGACAACAGCCAGTGTTACTTTATAGGTTATACTGTTCCCACTGAGCTTCACCTACACGGACTGTAAATAGAAATGAATACTAGGGATGACTCCGCAGGGTTAGTCTATGTTTGTTCCTATTCACTGGTCCCTAATTTGCAATTTTTGGTCAGTGCTTAAACCGTGTTACAGCTGATATCCTTAATCTAATAATGAAGTGTGTTTCAGTATGTCAGAAAGTAAAGACCAATCAAATCAAACACCAGATTGTGTGTTAGTGCGAAAGATGGGTATTATTACAATAAAGTGCACATTGTGTTTGCGCAAGTCTGTGATGAGACAAACAGTAAATGACCTTGTTTTAACTTGATAACTGAATAGCAAATGATTGATCTGTACTCTAGTACCCCGAGAGACGATGAGTCTATTTCTTGGCTTTGCCCTGAGCAGCCACAGCTTCCATGGCCTTCTTGACTGTCTCCTCGTCTCCCAGGAACTGCATGGGTCCGAGAGGCTTCAGGTTCTTGTCCAGCTCATAGACAATGGGGATGCCTGTGGGCAGGTTCAGCTCCATGATGGCCTCCTCTGACATCCCTGGGAAACAATGACAGACATGCAGAGCTTACAGCCCATTTGTGTGAACATGCTTTTCATGCATCTGTATGTTGAAGCAGAGGGACATCACCTCAGGTGGGCGACAGTTGATGCAAGCTGGGTATGATGGCAAAGATTTTTTTACTCAAGTGAAATAAGCCCTCAAAGCTCAATTATAATCACATATATGTCACAGAGAAGTTACTGTGAATATTTTCAAGTTATCTAATATAACTTCAGCAGTCATTCATTTGAGCATCGTTCTACAGTCACACCCCGTCCACACATTCTTATCATTTCCCTTTTCCCTCCAGCTATAAAAATTCAGTCACATTACACTTTTGCCCATTGAATATTCATTTTGTCTCCTGTTGAGTTCATTTGAAACAACTGATAACCTGGCCAGAGTTCACCTTTGTTCCTTTGCAAATAAGCCGATGGAAGGAGTGAGTTTGTAAATGGAAAAGTCATTATTCTAGTGCCATGTCACCATTTGCAGTCTATGATTGCTCCGCTAATTATTTATTTTTAATCCAAACTGAGAACATGACATTACATCCTGTTTCAGGAAATTATACCGGAGAGAGGGTTAATGTGAATGTGTCATTTTCAACACTTGAACCTGATAATGAACTTTGAAAAAATGCATAAAATAAATTCAGCAACTGTAATCAATTCATGTGATTTTGTGATTTAATTAAAAGGAAGCTCCTTGAATCACAGTTGAGTAATACTAAGATTATCAATAAATGATCATAGGGGAAGAATATTTCTGCCACTGGGCATCGTCTCATACGTCTCCACTCTGTCTCTTACCCTCGAGATGCTTGACGATGCCCCGGAGACTGTTGCCATGGGCAGCAATCAGCACCCTCTTTCCCTCTTTGATCTGTGGAACGATCTCTTCGTTCCAGAAAGGCAGTGCCCTGGCGATGGTGTCTTTGAGACTCTCACAGGAGGGAAGCTGGTCCTCCGTCAGGTCAGAATAACGCCGGTCCTACAACAGAAGACAGGGTTAATGTTGTCACATGTGTTGTGACCACATGGGCTTGCACTGATGTAATACAAGTGTCTACATTTGTAAGCAAGAAAGAGACAGTGTTGTGCTGTTTTTTTACCTTGCTTATGGTCTGATAGAAGTCATGCTCCTCATCCATGGCTGGGGGAGGAATGTCAAAAGAGCGCCTCCAGATCTTGACCTGGGCTTCTCCATGTTTGGCTGCTGTTTCAGCCTTGTTAAGCCCAGTCAGACCACCGTAGTGACGCTCATTCAGGCGCCAGGTCCGGTGGACGGGCACCCACATCTGGTCGATGCCATCCAGAACAAACCACAGGGTCCTGATGGCCCTCTTCAGGACAGAGGTGTAGCAAATATCAAATTCATAGCCAGCATCTGTGGTGAATCAGAGAGAGGACATGAAAAAGATGGTAAATGCAAATGTGTATTGGCACCTCAGACAAAGGGAGGGGTTTCACTAAAATGTAACTACAGAGGTGCGTACAAATCCCGTGTATTTTTTAGAGGAAAAATGATTATTCTACCGGCATTTCACTTAACCCAGTGGCAACCCTCTTTCTTTATTCTCTAATAATAACATTTATACGCCTGCTTTTGCTTCGTCAGTGGCAGTGCAGATGACAGGACACAGGCAGGCTGTGGACACTGCAGATTCTGCCTGCAGAGGATTGCTGGGTCAGAGAAAACCTACAGGAATGTGTGCGTGTGTGTGTGCTGCACAGAGAGAAATAAGCCAAATGAAGTGAGGGACTGAGAGGAGGTTTATAAAACTGTCATCAGCAGTCTGGCCTTATTCTTTCTTACATCTGACTAACATGTCTTCATCATTTTTTTAAACGTTAAAGCACTGGAATTTTGTATCTCTGCTATTAATACTTCTTTTTGTTATTTATTTTCTCACTTGCAAATGAGATCTCATTCTCAATAATAAATTAAGTATATAAATGCACTTTTATTTTAATATTATAAAGAGAATGTCTAGACCTGCTCTATTTGAAAAGTGCCTTGAGAAAACCTCTGTTGTGAATTGGCGCTATAGAAATAAGAATGGACATTTATTTCAAGCAATACAGTAGTACTTTAGACAGATTTAAATTAGTATACCTTAATAAAATGCTCACTGATGTTTATGTGAAAATGCCCCACTTTCCATTAAACTAACTGGCATCATGACTCATCTCTGTTATTGAGCTTTATTCACAAATTCACTACACAATACAGTTTATATCATTAATCCAAGAACAATTTAGGATTATTCCCCTCACTGGGAAATAATGAAAACCTAAACATAACACTGATGATTACACTCAGACTGTGTGGGGTCGTGTGTGGGAGGAAAAGGGTCCAGCAGGGAGACTGTGATGACACATGTCTGATCGAGCCTTTTGTTGCATGTCCTACAAACGCATGAATACATTAATTCTTCGATTTCAAAGACGAACAGCAGCCGTCTAGCCGAATAAACACGATGACTGAGTCACTCCCATGCCTGCTGCTGGCCTGTCTTGTGTCGCAGTGTGCCTACTACCTGTTTCCCCATCCGGCAGAGTTGCATAAGATCTGGCTTGCAGCGGCTTAATCCAAAGACCAAGAGAAAGCCCGATTAGGCCCCGTGACATCATCATCATCATCTGTTACCATACCTTTCAGGGCCTGTCCTCCTCTCTTTGCCTCCTGCTCTCCGGTCTCACTCAGGTCCGCGTCGAACCAGCCGCAGAAGCGGTTCTCCTGGTTCCAGCAGCTCTCTCCATGTCGGATCAGGACCAGCCTGTAAGCAGCCATCCTCACACCGATGCCCTCTGCCGTGTATTTCCGGAAACTTTGGGGTACGTGACTCTTTCTCAAACGCGGCAGCAACGTCCGCAGATTTGTCCTGGCTTCGCCGAAACCCAAAAGAGGGCTACAAAACAGCGAGCGCAGTATTTTTGGTGGTCTGGAGAGAAAGCGGTTCTGAAGCAGCAGTGACTCTGTGGAGTTGGCTGGTCTGGCTGAACTTGACAGATCTCACGACCCGAGCTCTCTTCCTCTCTTCCTGCTGGTTTCCACCAATGAGAAGGCGAGCCGTGCGCGCCGGGAGGAGGAGGGAGGCAGGAGGATGCGCACAGCGGCACGTCTACACACCCAGCCGTGCATCCTGCAGGCCAGACTGGCGGTAATGCATCATATGGAAAAACCAGAGAAATGTCTTCTGACACAGAAAACTATCATGAATGATCACCATAGTAGGTGGAAAAATAGCTTTATCCACATCTTCAAGTAATAATCAGACACAAGAGAAGACCACAGACTGTTCACACAACAGAACATTTGCATTATTTACTTTCTTTGACACATTATTACACATATAATGTCTGGTAGAAATGTGTAGTAGAAAAGCTGAAACTTGGACTTGACATATATAATTATAACAAAACTATTAAGTGATTATTGATTGTGATTATTCAAATCTGGTAGTTAGGGTCAGAGACCTGAAAGACCTGACTTAGCTTTAAATTTGCATTTTTCTCTTGAGAACTTATTAGGACCTCATGGACTTGAGTCATGACTTGGACTTCCCCAGTTATGACAGATACTGACTGTATTACTCAATGGATTTTCAAAATAGAGAACGGTTACCTTGAGGCATAGCAGTCTTGTTGTTAGAACGTCCTTCTACAGTCCATCATTCAAACCAGACTCTGCGCAGTTGAAATGTTGCTAGAGCATGATGCTAAATTCAGATAGCTTCATATGTTATCGCCCCTGACCTTTGACCTTCCATTGAAGAGGGGAAGTAGTCAAAGTCTGCCATTCAGCATTTTCAGAGCAAAACATGTGTAAGGAGTCGGGAGCATATGGCCCCAGAACATACCTGTTATCTAGGGTCTCACGTCATCCACTATTGTTACTGAACAAAACAGATTGATACAATTTGTGGTTATGGACAAATTGTGAAATTCAATGTGAAGTTGTCAAAAAAATTTAGTGTCATTTGTTCACTGGCAGGTTGCTCTGACATCACAGACTGAAGTTTTAAGATGTTTGTTTTTATTCCATTAACACTTATTTAAACCTTACTCTTTACTATTTCTTTTAAATGAAAAAACACACAGTTAATGTGCGTCACTTTCATATTATTGGTCTCCTAAATCCTAATGTTGTGAAGGGGTATTGTAGTCCATATTTTTCTTATAAATAACCAAATATATTTTCTCCTACTACAGGTTTCATGCTTATCACCATGGCAACATAGTTTTCGCAAAGTCTGAAATACTGTATACAACAACTGCTACAATACAAATACACTGAAGATGGTAGCCCTACCAACTCATCAGTGGTATAATTAATATAATCAGAAAGCAACATGGAAAAGAAAGTCAAGAGAAAGTAATAGTGAGTAGAGAAAGTAATTCCCAGTGGCAACTAACAAAATAAGATACATTAATACTGCTACTTACAGAACTTATGATTATGAGTATCATCAGATCTGATCACAAAATGTTTATGACAAGTAGGTGCAAGTGTGAGATCAGACTGCTGATGATACAGATGAGACATCCACATATATGTGGAGGCAACTTGTGACTTTATCTAACATATCACTCTAATTCACCTGAAAATTACAGTTGTTTATTTTTGTTCAGTTATTTGCTGTCTGCATTATTTTTTGCCTCTGTACATGTGTATCTTCTAAATCTATGTGAAAATGCTTTTTTGCTTTTTCATTTGTTTGTCTTGGACAAGCTAATGGGATGTCTCAGGGCGGTTCAGTATACACGAGATGAGGCCATAACATTTGTACAATCCATTTGAAACAGCCTACATAAGGGCAGGTAAGTACAACAGAAAAACTATTATCTCTTTCTTTGCATCCTTTGTTTCCTTGTACTAGTCATATTCCTTTCTCCACTCCCTTGGTTTTTCAGTTTAACTCATCATCCTCACGTTTTGTGTTTGTATTCATTATACTATCAGAGTGATCATAATTTGTTGAAGTGTAAACTCTTAACCTGCAGCCTTGTCTGAGGAGCTAAAAGCAGGGCTCGTCCGGGATTTGAACCCGGGACCTCTCGCACCCTAAGCGAGAATCATACCCCTAGACCAACGAGCCTATGCATGGCAGGGTGAACATCTGTATTTCTTTGTCCCAAAGACCTGCAATTGAACTCTTCAAACTGGTGATGTGGCAAGTTAGGGCTCCATATTTCATCCCACTGAACAGCACCCTCTGGTGGTCTTACTATATTTATGTGATATACTGTAGTTGTTTGCAGTTTGCAGCCAGAAATATGCTTTCAAAACTAAAACGATATGAGATAGGTGCTGTGACTTCTCTGTGATGCTTGATTTTATATGATTTTTTTTATTGATTTTCCATGGGGAATGAGAAAAAACATTCCCCCAACACACAACCATGAGGCATTGAAGAAAACTTCCAGTGCCTACAATTACAATGGATAATGCTGAAGTGACTGGTGTAGGCCACGTCTGTGTGCATCATAAACATTTTCCACATTTTTTTTTTTTTGCTAGTCATACTGATGACTCCTTATCCTGCATCTTTCATCCAAGCTTCATCAAACCTGGTACATCATGTCTGAATGACCACAAAAACTACCTAAGTTTGATTCGAGAGATCATTTTTTCATGACAGGCTAACAAACTTTTGTGGATGAAGTTAAATCAATTAAACCGGCTAACTCTTGAACCAATTGCAACCAAATTAGGCTCTTGTGTACAAGCTTGAACCACAAATAAAACTTTCATTCAGTTTCATGCAGGTTCGCCACTATGGGGCGCTATAGTAAAAAGAAAAATACTAAACCAAAATTGCTTAATAAAAATCACTGGTTCTGGTTTCACTTCTAAAATGTCAAGCTTGAGTAGACCATGTCAGAGACCTTGCAGGCTTGGTACAAATGGGTTATGGCAGCACTATTTTTCAGTAAGAGTAACTGCAACAAAAAAAAGGAAAAAGAAATAGTAATCACAAAAAAAAAAGAAAAATTGAAAAAAGACACCTTTAATGGTTAATTTAACCACTGTGGATTTTATGACACTCAACTTTTGTAGACTGTGTGAGAGATGTGTTCATTAACCTATGACCAAAATTGCCACTATGTACATTCATATTGGTGAGTTTTGGAAGGTGAGAAGTCTGATGTTAGACTCTCAAAGTGGTGTCAAAAATGAGGCCTCAGACTGGTTTGTTGTTCAAGATTCTTGCTTAGGACTTAGGGTGAGTGAGGTCCTGGGTTCAAATCCGGGATGAGCCCAGTTTATTTTTTTCCTCTAGGGATCATTATAGTCAAAACATAGTGTTACAGTGAACAGTTCCATCAGAAGTCTTTGGACAACAATGCCAAAGCCAATACTACCAAATGCTATCAAAGCAGGGGTGTCCCTCTCTAACTTCAAGAAACTCTTGAAGACTCATCTCCTCCAGGAGAATCTCCCCTTCTAACACCTCTAACATGTCCAACCAGCACTTGCTATGCACCTTCAGTGCATTTCTTTACCTGATCTCATTGCACTTACTGAATAGATGTAGAACGTAATACTTACAACAAGGTCTCCTACTGCATTGAACTTTTAGTGTTTTCCCTTATACTTTGGATAAAAGTGACTTCCAAATGAGTAAATGTAAATGCAATATGTAAATGTAAAGTGCCCAATAAGTATAGTAGGGATTATCAAAATTCACTATGCGCACTTGAATAATCATGTCATGCCGTCCCTCAGTCACATACAATTGAGTCATTCGCCTCAGAAGATGTTTTTTTAAATTTGTGTCAACATCCCTTGATGTTGACACAACTTGTCTGAGAGCAGAGACTCATATTGGGCACTACTTCTGAGAAGTGCCGTAATATCATTGGTCACCACATTTATCCTCTGCTGTGTGCATCTATAATAGGTGGCCAAAATTAGTTATAGTAGGCCAGTGGAAGGGTGTGAGAGGAACTGTGTTGAAAACCCATGTACTTTTTAATCCTTGGTGGATACATGAGATAATGTCACCAGGAGCACTTTTTTGGTGACTCATTCATGCTGTGGGCAGGGTAAAGTTTACTCCAGTAAGCAGTACAAATGAAATAAAAGAGGCTAATGATACAATAAAATAATCTAATATAATAATACAATCTAATCAAATCTATATAATATAATATAATATAATATAGCTTTTTAGATCCTCCTCCACTAACTAAATTTAATTCCACATCATGTTCAATTTCTCACGTTTATAGTAAACCAAATGTCATGCAAATCAGCTCAGAATTAAGCGAATGGCAGATGATCTCATAGTGAAGTCTTGTATTTGTTTACCGGCGAGTCTTGACCGCTCCAATATGGCGGACGGGCAGATGCTTTGCTGCGACCCAGTGGCCAATGAGGTATCAATGTTTAACTACGCTCTCACGTGTCTTCCGTGGGCGGAATATTTGCAACCAATCAGCACTGGATATTAAGTTGTTGGCAGCACCATTTGAACGCTGATTGGTTAAAAATCAAAACACTCCCGTCTCCTCCCGGAAGCTGACAGTCATCTGATTTTTTTCCCTGTGTTTCCTTGTTAGCCAGCGTCAGTACTAGTCAACAAAACAACCGTCCTACTTTCTTTTCTTCTTCTGTTTAGTCCTCTCTTCTCTTTCTTCTCTTTCTTCGGGAGTTTAAAAAAACTCTTTGCCCACCCCCAAAGACATGGACGAGACGAGTCCGCTTGTCTCTCCGCTACGGGACTCTGGTGATTTCAGCTACTGTCCCACAGAGCCCACCAGCCCGCGGGGCGCGTTTGGAGGCACACCGGGCTCCGTGGTGCGCATCCCGGCCGGGAGTCCTGGGCGCAGCCGGGAGAGGCAGCCGCTGCTGGACCGGGACCGCGGGAGCTCGCCGCGGGAGCCGCACAGGAACGAGTTCCCGGAGGATCCCGAGTTCAGAGAGATCATCCGAAAGGCCGAGCGAGCCATAGAAGAGGGGATCTACCCGGAGAGGATCTACCAGGGATCCAGTGGGAGCTATTTTGTCAAAGACTCACAGGGGGTAAGAAGAGCAGCTGCTAATTCACATCTACCGATTACCTACAGTTTCTACCATGCTACCGGCCCCTTTTGTTGGATGTTGACTGATCCGTGAAATCTGAAGTGTTGTGTGTGATGCACTGACTGGAGACTGAATGAATGCAAGAGTGCTTTGATGAAAGTGTTTGTCGCTTCTAGGAAAGGCCTCTTCCAACTAGCCTGTGATGACTTGGCAAATAGACTATAAGGCATGCAAACAAAACACGAGCCAAGTGCAAACTAATAAACATCCAATGTTTTTGGAATAGAAGGCACATTTATTGTCCACCAAGGTGTAAAATTGTCTTCGGCCTTTGTGCTGTTCATAAAAACATACATGCACAGCACATAACAACAGCAGTCTCAGTATGAATACACCAAGTAATGGCAGACCATACACAAAGTTTAAATAAAAACAGTTCAATTCAAAATATAACTAAGCCTCTAAGAATTGAGCAAACCAATTGCTGGTGGGACAAATGTATTCTTATAAACATTCTTTGTTGCCAAAGTCATCCTGTAGCACCTGTCACCGTTTAGGCGATGTAGGCTTTTCTGGTGATGAACAGACCCTCCCTCCTCACCCTGTGTTCCCAAAAGAGTTCCTTAACTGTTTTTGTGGCTTTCTTATTAGTTTACTGGCCATGTTGAAGACTCGTGTCAGCTTGTTCCTGTATTTATTGTATGACAGAATGCTTCCAATCAGAGATATGTAGACAACTTGTCAAATTTGCTGGATTACACCAAAGCTCTTAAGAATAATATGAAAACATAATCAGTATTTACGTTCACATTTCAGTATTTTTTTAACTTCTTGATCCAGCTGCTTAGCTCCCCCATTAGTATGACTACAGCTCTGCTGGCAAGTGGTGGTCATTTCAGGTCTTTCTGCTGAGGCAGTAGTCTGTTAGTGAACCCCCACCTCTGACCAGCTGTCATGCTGATGTCAACAACAACACACAGTCCCAGACAACATACTCTGCCACCCGTTAATTCAAGTATTTTCCCTGTTTTTTTGTTTTGTTTTGGGTTTTTTTGTTTTTTTTTTGTTCTTTCTCTGTATTGTATTTCTGGGCAAAGAACAAAGTCTTAAACATCTAATCAAACAGAAGATGCTGAGCACACATTTCTGATTTGTTGCAATACTTGTAATCACTTTATTTTTTGCAGGTGCTTTCAAACATTTTCAAATTGCTACACAATCAAGAAAATCATTGAATCACCATGTGGATCATTATAGAGGATTTCTTTTCATTTGTCTAATTATGCCAGATTAATGACAGTAAACTTTGATCAGCACTGCTGGAGTCGACCAGTAAAAGTCTTGAGCAACTCACGGACACTCTCCTCCCACCACCTCCCTGTGTGTGTTGTGTTCAATCCCCGTTTAAAAAAAAAGAGAAAAAAAAAAGAGAAGTGTGCTTATGGACTCTGTGGCTGGATCCTCACTCATTTCACTTGTGTTCTCAATCTGTTAGAGACAAGATAATCCAGGTCTTTTATGTGCCACTTTCTCCACTCATTAAAAGCTTACAAAACAGAAATGAGTATTCTAGGCTCATTGTGTGAGGTTTTTATCCAGTGACCTGCCCCCCTTGCCTCCACCACCTCTCCAGTTTCTTTAGTTAGTCACCAGTGTGCTTAGTAGTCATGTGCTAGCTCTCTGTGCGAGGATATAATTCTCTTCTATGACCAAGTTTCATGTTGTAATCGCCGTATGTGTCTCATACTTGCATAATGCAACATGTGATGTCTGCATACAACTCCAAAGTGACACTGCTCCCAAATCTGTCGATTGCTTATCAAACACTTATCACCTTTAGGCCCTAAAGAAAGTCAGGTGTTTCATTTTCTGCATAGCACAGTGGCTGTGGACAGCCTCCGCTCATGTCAGTTACAGTGGAGTTCAATAGTAACAAGTTTTCACAGGTTAAAGTTTAAAAGATGAAATATTGTCCTTTAATGTAAATATTTAATCGTCTCATACACAAAGAAACATGGCTTCTTTAATTTCCATTCCTAAATGTTCCAAGTCTGAACCTCTTTATTTGCATTTCATTCTCATTTTCCTCACATATTCTCTGTCCGCAGAAGATTATCGGCGTGTTCAAACCCAAAAATGAAGAGCCTTATGGCCAGCTGAACCCCAAGTGGACTAAGTGGCTCCAGAAACTTTGTTGCCCCTGCTGTTTTGGCCGCGACTGTTTGGTCCTGAACCAGGGTTACCTCTCAGAGGCCGGGGCCAGCCTGGTCGATCAGAAACTGGAGCTCAACATAGTTCCTAGGACCAAGGTATAGACATGCACAGTAGTTCCACAACATTACAAGAGCACATTTTCCCTCTCCTAATGCATCTTCTGCCCTTTAGGTGGTGTACCTGGCTAGTGAAACATTTAACTACAGTGCCATAGACAGGGTTAAGTCTCGAGGCAAAAGGCTAGCCCTGGAGAAGGTGCCTAAAGTGGGGCAGCGCTTCCACAGGATTGGACTGCCACCAAAGGTAATCTAACAAACTGTTATTACATAAGTGATTTCATTCAGTGATGCATTACAGTGACTGGAAGAGGAAGAGTTCACCCTTAAAAGTCTTGAAATTAAAACTGTTGGATGTTATTAGTTATGTGTCTTGTCTGTTTTGACTTCACTTAGTCATTTCCTTATTTTTCCCTGAATGACTTTCAAGAATGCCTGAGAAAAGGTATAAACTTGTTGCCTATAAATGGCATTAATTGTAATATTGGTGGTAATTGATTAATTTCTAGTATCAAATGCCATTCTGGTTCACTGGAGATACACAGATGTGCTGTCACAATATCTATGTTTGGTCTGTGATTTACATGAATACCAAAAATACACCAAGGTTCAAAGTCTATTCCTGATGTTGGAAACAACAGTTGAGAAAACAGTCTCGCCACAGGGTCAATTCAGTAGCTGTTCTGGGCCTGTCAATCAAAAAAGTATACCGCAAAGTTTGAAAAAATAATTTTGTGAGTTTTATGAGTTGTCTTTCTTTTTAACTCACTTCAGCAGATTGTTGAAATTGGCATCACGGTGTAAAAAAAAAAAAAAGAAACTGAAAATCCAGGGCATAGATGTACTGTGTGTAACAGAAACACCCCGTTCTGCCTCACTTCCACCAGGTTGGTTCCTTCCAGCTCTTTGTTGATGGATACAAGGATGCAGATTTCTGGCTGCGGAGGTTCGAAGCTGAGCCTTTGCCTGAAAACACTAATCGTCAGCTCCAGCTGCAGTTTGAGCGGCTCGTAGTCCTTGACTACATCATCAGGAACACAGGCATGTGGTCACAGTCCTCAGCAAAGATAACTCTTTATTAGAATTTATAGGTCTTGTCAGATCAGTGGTTGAAAGTAATTTAGTATATTTACTCAAGTACAGTACTTAAGGGTGATTCTGGGGTACTTTACTTTACTTGAGTGTTTCCATTTTCAGATGCTTAACACTTAACACATTTATCTGACAGTTCAGATCAAGATTTTACATAGAAAACATATTACTATTTTAAAAAATATGATACATTGTTTTTGAACTACCCAAAAATAAAAAGTAGGGATACATTGGAGAAATAATACAACATTAAAAGCACTAAAAAATCATGTCACCAGCTTACCATGACTGAATGGAGGTAACTTAGAGTAAAAATAAGACAAAGAAACAATATTTCACATCTGGCTAATACCCGGCTGCAATATTTATATGCTACTTACATGATTATAATTATTAATAATCCTATAATAAGTATCATGTGACAGGGACTCATCTAAGGAGTAATTTTACTTTTACTTTTTTTTAAAATACTTTTATTTTGCTGACAATACATACTTTTTACATGCTTTTATATTGTAGTATTGCTACTTTTACTTAAGGTAAAAGATAATACTCAATACTTTATCCACCACTGAATAAGATGTTGTTCCGTGAAAGTCTTGAATGCATCCTGCTGAAAGAAAGTGATATTGCAGGCTCAATTTGAATCCTTTATTTGGTGTTGCAGACAGGGGAAATGACAACTGGCTGCTCAAGTACGACTGTCCAATGGACCCAGTTGGGAACAGGGTGAGGATACACACATCTGCACACTGTAAAAAATCTGTAACTGTAAACATGTCATTTTGAAATTGTGATGCTATGGCTGAAAACATGTTTATGTTCTTCCTACTGTATGTCTTTTTTTAAATGAAGGATTAAAATTGAATTCCACCTGTACCCTCACGCCCTCTCTGCAGGACACAGACTGGGTGGTAGTAAAGGATCCCATCATTAAGCTGGCAGCTATAGACAATGGCCTCGCCTTCCCCCTCAAACACCCCGACTCCTGGAGAGCCTGTAAGCACCTACACTGACATTGTTTTAACCAATCACTTCTCGCCCTCAGCAGAATGTAATCCATGCTTTTGAAGAAATTGCTTCTCTCTTTTCAACAGTGTGTTCAGTGAAAGTTGCTTTATCTGTGTTACATTTATCCTGTATCTTTTATATCTATCTCTATTTATCTATTACTTATATTTATATATCTGAATATCAATGTTCTTTTTGCCCCATTTTCATGTGCACTTTAATTTTCTTTAAAGGTATTTTTTCCATAAAAAATCTAAAAAAAAGATCATCTATGCCATCACTGTATTATTAACTTTCTTCTTTACACAAAGTGTATATAATTGTTAAATCACAGTTTATTTGTCCAATCGTCAGACCCCTTCTACTGGGCGTGGCTTTCCCAGGCAAAAGTCCCTTTCTCCCAGGAAATCAGAGAGCTGGTTCTGCCCAAACTCTCTGACCCAAATTTCATCAAGGACCTGGAAGAGGACCTCTATGAACTATTCAAGGTGAGGAGGGACTTGGATTAAGTATTCAGCAGTATCTACGTGGAGAATGGTGAGGATTGATGTGGGCGAGAGGAGTTTGAGAATCTGGCTGAGAAATGGAAGCAGGCATTGAAATAAGGGGAAATGAAAGATGGAGAGGAGGATGACTCAGTTCTGTGGCTGTAAATGTTATGTATAAACATGCATGTCTTATCTATTGTTTCTGGCAGAAAGACCCCGGTTTTGACAGAGGACAGTTTCACAGACAAGTAGCCGTAATGAGGGGGCAGGTGAGTTTTCTCCTCTCTTTTCTAAAAACATCTGTCTAGAAAAAAAACTGAAGCAAAATAGGCGAAGTCATACTCCTGAAAAAAAAAAGCCGTTTGACATAAAACTAACGGTTCCTTCTTGGATGACTGTTTGTTTTAAAGCATTAAGTCACCACAAGTGTTTTTACTTTTACATACTTTTTCTGTCTCCTTCTTCTTACTAAGATCTTGAACCTGTGCCAAGCCCTAAAGGATGGTAAAACGCCCCTCCAGTTGGTCCAGATGCCCCCAGTGATTGTCGAGACAGCCAGAGCGCCTCAGAGAGCCAACAGTGAGTCCTACACACAGAGTTTTCAGAGCAGAAGACCGTTCTTCACCTGGTGGTAGGAACGGAGCAGCCAAGAGTTGAAGGAGGAACAGCGGGAAGCCGGAGTGGGGAAAGGAGTGAGCTGTGCGGTTGGAAGAGAGGGCAGAATCCGAGAGTGCAGGATTTCGCCCTGAAAATGGATATTATCATCACCCCATTCCCCCTCTCCTTATGGATATTTTGGTTACAGAGAGTGGGTGAATGGGTGGAGAGATGAGGCCAAAAGAGGAAGAATTTCACAACGTATCTTCCCTGTTTGCCTCTGTGCCTTGTTTGGATGTCACTGAAGAATTAACGCCTAAATGGTGACGGTTCTGTACCTTCCTGCGAGAGGAGAGATTTCTGTTGGACTCCTGGGTGCACATAATGTTTGCTCACACACATGCACACCAGTCCAAAACCTCTCATACTTTTGTTTTTGGATGGGAGGTGTTGCATTCCATGTATTTTTTTTTTTTCTTCATACCAGTCTGCCTTTTTAATATTCACCTGCGTATTTCCTCGCATGCAGTTAAAAGCACGGGGTGAAAGCATCAAAGCCACTAGTGAAGATCAGTGTTGTCATTTTTAACAAACAAGAGAAGTGTTCATTGTGATAAAGTCTTAAAGATTCAGGAACTGGGAAACTCATGGGTGTCTTTACACAGTGAACACAAGCCACGTGAACTGGTTTCACAGTTACTCGTTGCTCCTAACTGTTTAGATTAGGATCTGCAAGTCATCTGGGGTGATGTTGAGGCACTTTTGGGGTTAAAAAAACAAACTGTTAAACTGAGATTAGTATGACTGGCTCACCTAATTTGTCTCCTCACACTGATGAGTTAAATCATTGGTGAAGAAGACAAAATTATCTTGTCCCCAAGCATTGTCCCCAAGCAGGCAGGGGGGGGGGGGGGTTGGTGATTCCCAGTGCACAAGCTCCTGTTTGTCTCGGCCATGTTGATTTCTGTTAACTTTATGGCTCGTGGGGTGGACCTAAGTAAACATCGAAGTAACTTCCTGCTGTACTGAACTGACATGAAATGTATTGTGACAATGCACTGTATAATTTGTATGTAATATTTAATGATAGATTATAATTAAAACATATTCCATTAATACAGATGACTTGTGTTTGTGAATGAGAAAAGTTTACCGTCAGACAGTCACACCACACAAATATGAGAAATTCAACCAGACTTCAGATGCTTTACTAATTCTGTTCATGTATACCGCTCATAATAGTCAAACAATCAGTGTGTACAGTCAATCAAATCTTGCCCTATAAGCAGCTATAATCAATATTTGTTATGTTAACAATGGTTCACCCTCACAGCTCTCATCAGCATTGTTTAGTGAAAAAGCTTTCACTACACTTCCTGCTCAACACCAAATGGCAGGCAGACACAGTAAGCAACTAGCTGCTGAAGAAAGTGCAACATTAAAGAACCAAATATTTCCTTCAGGAGTCTGTAGAGACCAAAAACAGCTAAAAGAGAGTGAATATCTGACTTAAAACCGCAGGGTGGACAGAAAAACAACTGAATGCTAATGTTGCTCCAAGTTTGCTAGATGTGTAAATAAGCGACTGTTTGCTAACAAGTTTGCTATATCAACTTGAAAGTTGGTAATATCAGTTTTGTGTTTACCACTTATTTACACCCAACTGTCCTAAAAAGACTGATTGATGACATCTTCATTTGGATGTTTCAGTACTGAGTAAAAGTAATAACATGTTGGGCCAGAAATACTCTCATTAAAGTGCTCTTTAAACATTAATGCAACATTACAATATTATTTACCATGATAATATACCATGACCTCTGTGGCAAGTTCATTGTCTGCTGTGCTTTCAAAATGCATTGCACTCATAATGTATATCAGCAATTTCATTTCAGGCTTAGACACGAACCCATTTCTGTTAAAAACACAACTGGTTTCATTCTGTTGATTGTTCTAATCTACAGGCAACATGCCTGCGTTTGAATAACCTATAATAGTTGGACTAATCCCCAAGCAGGTTTACCAGAGTTCACTGGTATGTCTTTGTGCTGGGGTCTAACATGTAAAGTACATGTTAGCAGAAGGTGCTAAAAGTAGGAATACAATGTGTCCTTTCAGAATCAGTCCTGTATTTCATGACTTCATTGCATCTTCTACCACTGTGTTATTCCCAACTCCATTTAGCTTTCAGTGGAGGATGCGGTGAAGGTAGCGTTCAGAGTCCCTGGCACTGTCCTGCCTTGCCACACCCAACCTCCATGAGGAGGGTTTGAATGGATTTTGGTTCTCTGGGATGTCCTCTTCAGTGGGCAACAGGAATTCTCCTGGACTTGACGCTGGGTCAGCCTCCTCATCCTCAACAGTGTAGTTGGACAAAGGCTCCTCAATCCTGTAACACAGAGAAGTAAAACAGGTTTAGTTAAATTATTACAGGCCTATATATTATACCAGACAAGTAGTCTATAGCCTTGCTAGTAGGTCTGTATTTAGGCACAGTGGTGCTTTGAGCACAATGCTAACATCAGCATGCTAACATGTGAACAATTACAGTGCTAACGTGATGATGTTTGGTAGGTAGAATAATTAGCACATTCACCATCATAGTTAAGAGTGTCAGCAAGCTAACATTTGCTAATTAGCACTGAACACAAAGTACAGCTAAGGGCTGTTGAGAATGTCAGTAGTTTTGTAGGTAGGCTATTTGTACAGGACAATTAAAATTTTGATGTGATGATAAGGAATCATCAAAATTCTTCTTGAAGAGGAAATGAATGTCTACAACAAATTTCAAGGCAATCTATCTAATAGTTGTCGAGATATTTCACTCAAAAACATATATGTCTTTGTAAAATTTCATGGTAATCCATCCAGCAGAGCCACACTGATAGCATGACTAAGAAAATATTCTCCCTGTGCGCCATTTTGTTATGACTACACCGCCCTGCCCCCATTTTACCATTCTGTGGTTACTTCATTACTCCTCCAACAAATCTAATTTCATCTAAGTGAGGAATGTTGAAAGCAGTGTGTGTGTGTGTATGTGTGTGTGTGTGTGTGTGTGTGTGTGTGTGTGTGTGTGTGTGAGTGTGAGAGAGAGAAAGGACACTGTCTTGTGAGGTCATGCTGAGTTTGTTAGGCACATGACAATTTACACACTGCATTTTATGCAGCAGATGGAGTCTGGATCTAAGTTGGATAGGGCCCTGAACATCAAGAAGTTCAACTGATGACAGTATTTTTCATTATTAATAAGTAAGGAGAGAATGGAGAACTACTTTGCTACTCATAACAAGTATTAGAAGAATTTCTCACTTTTTAACTCGTCATCCCTTTTCACATTCTTTCTTTACTTTTTTTCTGGCCTCTTGCCATTTGACATTGTCACCTACCTGAGATATCCTGATGCTCTGAGCCACTTGTGGTCTCTGTGTCCTTCCACTCTGATCCCTGCTTTATTCCTCGTTCTGACTCTGAGCCCCACCATGGCCTGGGCGAGTCCTGCCTCAACCTGTCTCTCCTCCCCTTCCTCCTCCCCCTTCTCCTCTGCTCCGTCAATATCTGCATCCATTCCTCGCCACACCAGCTTCGCCCGATGTTCAGCGTCTCTGTCTCCTGCTGTTCTGAACAGCCTGTGCAGTTGGTGCAGGTTGACCCCAGAAAAGATGTTGGAGCATCCAGGCTTCCTGCTGCGTCGATTGGAAACTTTCCATTGCACAGGCAAACCATCCTCTGTGAAGGTTGATGCTGGGGTGTCTGCCATGGTGTGCAGGTGGAGAGCTTCCAGGTGGTGAGATAAGGACAGGAGGACAATATCAAGGGGGAAGGTAGGAGGGCTGACAGGAAGGTAAGCTGAAAGGGGGAGAGAAAGGAAAGAGGCCAAAGAGGTCAAACTAAAGAGTTCACAGCTACAAGCAAAGCTCAAGCCTCATCCCGAAGCCACATTTCCATAGCTGCAGCCAAAAAACCTAGTTGCCTCTGCCACCCTTTCCTGTGTGACGAAGTCTTATCTCATTATTCATGGGTCTTAAGTGTGTAAAGAGAGTGACACACATGTTCCAACTAACAATTATTTTCAGTAGCAATTAATCTGTCAGGTCTTTTCTTCATTAATCATTTGGTCCATCATAGAATAGTGAAAAATTGTTCAACCAACAGTGCAAAAACCAAAGGCATTTAATTTAATAGCATAGTTGACAAAGTAAACCAGAAATATTCACATCTGAGAGGCCATTACATTTTTGGCTTTTTAGCCATTATGGCGACCTTAATTTGATTTTCATTACAGCTGCCAAATGATTTTCTGTTGATCAATTAATCGACTTATAGCTTAAGCTCAACACTAATGCTTGTGTCATTACAGTCTGGCACATCCAAACCTGGTGATGCTCATTTTTAAAACACAGTTTTCCAGCCTCCCATATCTAGAAATTCTACCATGCATATCCTTCTAAGAAACCAAACCCCTTCATAAGCCATGTTTTCAGAGAACCATTGATGGGATTCCTTTGCAAACAGTGATCCCACCAACTACACTAACTGTTGGTGGCTATTTCTTGAAAAACTGACCTTTGGGACACACAGACACTGTACAATATTGAAAATATACATAGAAACCAGATTGTTTCCCAGTGATGTTATCACAAAAAGCCATTGATTAAATCAGTTTCATTCAAAAAAAATCATGGCTGATATTGTTAACAGTTGTCTACTATAACAACTAAAATAAGTTTAGCCCAAACCATAGGAAAAACTTGAGAGTTATGTTAAACACTGGCTATAATGAGAATACTTACCTCACCCACTGTAGTTTGAATGAGACAGACTCCAAGCATGCACTACAGGCAGACAACAACCTTGTTACTGAACCAGCATGCAGACTACAGCCTTCACACCCGCTAATGCTGAGCCGACCCACTTCCGACAGGCGCGTCAGTCGCGCATGGAGCTGTGGGGGAAAGGAATAAATAAAGAGTAATCCATTAATGACGTCAGTGCCGAGGTGCTCGCCTCACAACAAGAGCCAGGCTGCAATAAAAAGAGAAAAAGACAGTCCAAATAAACAGAGGACAGAAGGCCTTGAGGGAAGGAAGGTCTCCTGCATAGGCCTATTTAAAACAGGAGTAGCCTACTCTCACTATGGTTTCAAGCTATACAGGGCAAACTGTCACCCTAATTTGTTTAGTATGTAAACAGTTGCTACGAAGTAACTCCTAACGTTTTCCTCTGAAATGTAGTAGAGACGAAGTATTAAATAGGCTAATAAAAAAGGATTTATATATAATTTATATAATTATTTATTTAATTATAAGTAGCCTACCTCAGACATGAACCTGAATAAATGTATTACGTTACTTTCCACCACTGGATATTAAGATTTATTGTGTGTTTGTGTTTCTGTAGTAATGCCACTGGCCTATATTTTCTTTTACTGAGTGTTATTTAACAACATCATGTACCTGACACTGTATGAACTGGTTGTTTAACTTTATTATCCCAAAGGGAGCTTTATTTGCAGTGGGAGCACAAATTGAGCGTGCACAATCAAAATGACCAAAGACACAGTCCACAAACCCAATTCTGGTGACAGCAAAGGCTATACTGTATGGTGTTATACCACACAGGCTGGACGAAACCAGGGCAGTAATAAACAGCACACAGTACTATATTGTACAAACCTGCAGTGCTTGTACAAATAAAAACAGTGCTGCCTGTGTTATTTACAGTTTCCATTGTCTATACATTGTCTGCTCTGTAACTACTAGTAGTGGTCTTGGAGGCATTTAGTGGTTTAACTCTGGATCCTGCTGAAAAATGATTTATAGTCCAGAATGAGCCAAAAATCCATCTTCTTGGAACACACCTCATTACATATGTGCTTTACTTTTTGTTTGGTGCTTTGCACATACAGAAGCATTTCCCTCATGACTTCAGTCAGCTCTATTTCATCTAAGCCAAGCTCCTCAACTGCATTCCAGTAATGCTCAATTAACTGTGACAGTCTGTCTTTATGTCTGTATCTTTCAACGCTGTAAGTGGTTACACATGAGATTAATAGAGTGAAATCATTCAAGTGGAGTAGGTCGTCTCACATAGTGAGTATGCTGTTTGGGTCCTTTTTGACCTTTAGGTCAATTTAGTTAAACTAGCTGAACTAAAACATTGGATTGCAGCTAAAGGCTGCTGCTATTCACTGCATGTTGAACCACATTTCATCACATCCTATGTTAATTGTTTTTTATAGATTTCTGTTAAATTAAAACTAAATTAGTCGATCTTCTCTCTGTTGTTGATGGACATATATAAATGATAAATGGAGATTCAAACAGGTATGAATCGGGTATGACTGGCCACTAAGCGGCGCCATTTTCCTACCATCTGTGGCAGGGTCAGGACCCACGTGTTCAATTTTTTAGGTATTCACACTCTACAGCCTAAAGGCTGAATGTAGATTATACACATATTTATTGTGGATGATGCAATAAAAGGAAAATTAATCACATCTTGATAGAGGAAGGTTGCTATACTGGTGTGTATTTACTTTTTTTTTTAATTAATAAAAATGATTCAAAAATGAATAGGATTGAACATGGTCTTTTTTTTCTTTAACAAAATTAATTTAGAGCTCTCTGTGCTCTTGAAAGCAAGGACTGTGAATCTGACGCAGTTAAAACAGTTTCCAGCCATAAATAAGCAGCAGTAATCATTTTCCTCATTTTCCTTTACTTAATTTACGTTGTGTCTATGTCATATCATCATATATAGCCTACAAGTTTATACATGCAGATCCAGATGTTTGAGATGTTACAACTTGACTCAAAGGAAGTGAAGACATGAACTACTCTATAACCTCTTTCCCTGACTTCACTAACAAGAAACTATAAAATATTTATCTCAAATAAAATGCTTGAGAAGAACAGTCACCCAGAACTTGAGACCTGGACCTTGAACTCATCAAAGCTATGTTGTTTTTTTTCCTATAGCGACTGAAGGCAACCTAATTAAAACCATCCCAATTAGCAGGTGTGTAATAGTACAGCTACTCTAAAGGGCGCTTCTTCCCCAAAGCCATCGACGGTCTTTTCTCTTCTTTCAGAGGGTGATACAGGCGGTTTCTTCATAGCTTAACATGTGTGTAACACTGTTTGCTGGACTGCTCAGGTCTCATCGGGCTTTTGCCCCGAGAGCAGGTACAATGATTCAACAAAAAGCAAGTTATATCCACGGCAAACCCCCTAAAAATAACGTTGGAGTGGCGGTAAGTTTACAAACGCGCTCTGTTCGGTCTCGTTTCTCATTTTTGTCAGTGGCTGGACGTTTAAAGCTTAGGTTGTTCCTGTCTAATTTGTGGCTTATGTGGAAACTGAAGTTGCTAACATGGCTGTCTTGCAGGAGTCTGCGTTCGTGATGACGGTGTTGACTCTGTCTGTCCTCGGGCCTTCTGGTTGGGTACTTGCGAACTTGGACTATTATAAAAGCCGATGACTGATGGATGAGGCCCTGTAGACATTGTCTGTACATGTTAAAGCCATAAGTCTGGTGTCAACTGAAGCTTTGGGGATTTTTCGGGCGTTTTGTTAACATAATAAACGAGTTTTTCAATTTCTCTTTGTACATTTGTATTTATTTATTTTTATTAACCGGTGCAGTTTAGCCCTCACATCAGTAGATGGCAGAAGCTGTCGGCGGAAGTACATCCCATCGTTTTGCTTGTAAACACGCCACCTCGTCAGACGATTTTCACGACTGAGAAATAATCGTGTTTTTAATGTCGACACTACTTATTTAATCTTTCATAGAGCTAATGTGTCTATGAGTACACCATGAAGCCGCGGCTGACTGGGACGACGAAACGCCCGTCTGTGACTAAACCAGCCGGGGATGAGGCTTCGCGGTGTCTGCAAGAGGAGCTTGTTGCAGCGATACATGGAGCATTTGAAGTGGCTGTGGAGATCGCAATACGAGATGTGAAAAAACTGGTGGGTCAGACAGCAGGAGACATCTACGAAGAGATGCGACGAGAGAACGAATCCCTGAAAGAGAGACTGCAGAGAGCTGAAGCTATGTTGGACTCTGTGCGGGTGAAAGAAAGCGGGGGAAGCCCTCCTCCTCCTTCAAAGCAGCTCTTCAGTACCGCAAAGCATGCAGATCAGCTGCTTCATCCTACTTGCAATCAAATAAGCCCCGACCCCGAAGTGGGCAACATGCGTAGTTGCCGAAGGCTCAGAGGTGACGCACCTCCTGCTAGCCACAGCCGTGCACAGCAGCCTGCTCACCCCCAAGATAAACACGTGAGCAGACATGACGAGCAGAGATCAGGCGATGGTGGTAAGACACAGACTATCAGTGATGCTGCTTCACATCCAGAGGAAGGACGAATTAATGGATGCATCAAAGGTATAAGTGTTTTTTATTTTTTTTTATTTTTTTTTTTTATTTTTTATTTTTGTTTGGTGGCTTTCCTGCTGTAGGCTAATATAAGGTGGAATTTAATACGTGTGGCTCAAAGGGTAGGTCCGCACAGAAACTGCATAAAACAGCTGGAATATTCATATATTTTACTGACTGTTTCCACACATTTCACAGACACATAAGTGCTAAACTTTATAGTGACACACTTGTTAGTTCTGCATGTTTTACAGTCACGATTGCTGAAGAGCAATCATCTCTTGATGCACACTCATCACTGAATATAATGGTTCATTTTAATGTATGGCTCAGTTTTGAAAAGCGAAATTACTGTCCTCAAATGTACTCAAGTATTTGTTATTCATAAATTAATACTTGACAAATTAAATTATGCATGCATTTTATTCTGTTCCAGAACTATGTGAAATGTTTAGTGTTACCTCACTCAATGCATGCATCTTTTTGCTCACAGAAGTCACCAAAGAGATTTCCCGTGTATGTGTGGTGAAGCTAGAAAACATTAACCAGCCATGTCAGGACTCAACAGCTCAAGGCCACCAGTCAGCACCACTTCCCAACACTGAGTCCACTTTGGAGCAGGTTACAGTGAAGCAGGAGATGCCAGAAGATGAGGAGAGAGATGCCTCAGCTTGGTGTTTAGACTCGATCAAAGTAGAGGATTATAGCCTGGACTGTATGTCGGCGGTCCAGTCCAAAATGTTGGAGGAGTGGGAAACAGAAGTTCTGGATACTCGGAGCCAAGACTCAAACACCCAGCTGTCCAGCACCAGCCTGGTTCAGGGTAAGAAAGAACGCAGTGAATGACTCAAACGATCATAAAATGTGTCTGGAGCAACAAAGCAAAATGTGATTAATATATAAATGATATTCAGTATCTTTGAATTCTAGGAGTGTTTCCCCAAGTCGGACTGAAATAAAGTCTGTTTGAAACAGCATTTAGACAATGAAAATAAAAGTGATTATGTAATTATGTTAGTGTGAACACCACTGCAGCTTATCAAACTAAACACTAAACTAAATGGAATAAATTTTTGTTTGAAATTATATTTTGGTTAGGTTTTCATATTGCTGAGAGCCTCTGTTGTAGACCATTGGTTTGATGCCTATAGTGAATTCAATCAAATGCCCATTTGACTCACTTCAGGTTAAGGACTTCCCACCTTTGTAGTGATCAGTTGTACAACCTATTGGTAAACGGCTGCACTGCATCGTATATATGTGCTGATCAAACTGTCATCTTGACGTATTCAGGGGATGGTACCAGTGTTTAGCATCTGTACTTCCAATATGGATGCTAAACATCAATGCATCCTCAGCATTTGAAAAACTTGCTTTGAATAAATACGATGGCCAGTATGGCTAAATACAGATTTACTACATGCAAACTGTGTATGCTTATGGCTACTTTAAGTCTACCCATTGATAAGATGATATGTAACCAATGAAGTTAAATATAAAAATCCAAACTCTGCAGCTACATAATTTATTTTTGAATGGCATTAAGGTGAAAAAGTTTTCAATTTTCTTACAGTTTAACACCCCACATGTGGTATTTTTCCACAGCTCATCCTCCAAACATGACTACAGACCTTCCACCACCCACAGATCTTCCATCTCTGTCTTCAGAGTTCCCCATCTTCCAGCTGGCAGAACCAGCTCCCATCCCAGAAGCCCCTCCACAGATTTCTGGAGTTCATATGCGGGGCAGCCGCAACCTCGGCCACACAATCACCAATGTCTACACCTGCAAGTCCTGCAGTCAGACCTTCCACCAGCCCAGCTTACTGCGACGGCACTACAGCCAGTGCCCGCAGAAGCTCCAGCAGCGTTGTCAGCAGCCTGTAGTGGGAGGAAAGAGGACCAGACTGCAGCTATACCCACCCGGCTGCAGCCCCTTCCGTTGCACGGTGTGCAACCGAGAGTTCAACCGCATGGAGAACCTCAAGACCCACCTTCGCATACACACAGGAGAGAGACCGTACACCTGCTCGGTGTGCTCCAAATGTTTCCGTCACTCTGGTGCATTAACCAGGCACATCCGTATCCACACCGGAGAGAAACCTTACATCTGTGGACAGTGTGGGAAGTCGTTCAGAAATTGCGGGGGGCTTAAATTCCACCAGCGTTCACACAAAGAGCAGCTACAGTAAAGTGGAACTCAACAGCGTTAAGGTCTACAGGACCAGTTTTTTATGTGAGATATAAGCAGCTGATTTTATTAAATACTTGTAAAATACTTTAATACTTTAGAATACTTTTAAAATTTAACTTTTTAATGTTTAAACATTTTTGCAGGTTTTTATCGGCTGCTGTCCTGAAGCTGTCTAAAATTCTCAGGATGGACATGATGTATCCCTTATGTACACCTAATAGCCTGTAAGGGCCTTGAGCATTGTGCTTTATAAGCTATAAACAGAAAAAATAAGTAGCATTTTTATAGTCTTTTGAATTATAGTTCAACACATCCGGTATAAAAAAGTGCAAACAACATTCCCCAGGTTTCATTAACACAGTAATGCATTATCAACATTTCAGAGAAGGATCACACCTACTAATAGGTGACAGTTTCATAACAGCGTCTCTCCTGCCTGTCTGCGCTGTTATCACATTTTTTGTCAGATCTTCCCTTTGAGATTGCAGGTATTGTTTTTAAAATTTCTCACCCAGGAAGCAGCATCGCAGCAAGTTATTTGGAACTTTTCTGGTACATCATACTGAGGTGGTATGTGTCAAATCATAAGCTATTATGTCAATGAAATAAATTGAGTTTTATTTTAGTGATGGTGTTCTGTAAATCAATGTCTTCTCATTGGTAGAAAAGGGCAAAGTAGAAAGACAGAAATATAGATACTGTAGCTATGTGATCACTAAGTCAGCTATTCAGCTGCAATACTGTACATGTGTATGATGGCTCAGTAGTACTTATTGAAATGCAATGTGTGTGGAAGCTTTCAGTGTTATTCTGAATGCTTTTTAATGTTGGTTATTAAAGAAAATCACTGGCCAAGCCAGTTGTTTCTTATTAACGGTAATCTTGTTTTTTTCCAATTTTTTATCTATGTGCTTCATTTATCCAAATATGCACCTTATTTTGGATGCAGTGTGTGGATAATAGTGTAATCGCAGTAATAAATGTATGGAAATTGCTCTGAAAGTTAAGAGGACATATGTTTTGGCTTACTGTACCAATGTATATATAAGTCCTGCCTGCAAATTACCTATTATCTCAATAACCACACCCAGAGGTTATGTAACCCCACCAATCTGTAAATTAAATTATTAAAGCTGCGCTCAGGTTGACAGTGGGGAGCCAAAGCTTTTCTGAGGAAGTGTTACATACTGTACTAGTGGAAGTAGAGGGAATCTTAAATTCCAAGCCAATTGGATATGTATCTTCTGACATAGCACCCCCTGTTCCTGTTACCCCAAACCTCCTCCTAACGGGGCGGCGAGATGCTTCTCTTCCACAGGCGGTCTATGCAGACACCAACTTACTGGGATGAAAATGGTGTAAGCATAGTCGGGTACTAGTTGATCAGTTTTGGTTGTCATTTATAATAAACTACCTCCCCAACCTACAGGTATGGAACAAATGGCAAATGGACAGTCAAAATATAAAAGAGGTAAAAGTACCATTTGATGGGGCGGCTGTTAAATCACAAGTCTAATACCTGCCTGCAAATTACCCATCATCTCAATAACCACACCCCTCTGTATGCAAGCCCTTTCCGTCCAAACCAGGAGAACAAAGACAACTGGGAACCAGTGAGTTGAACTTGTAATATGGACTTTTCAAACCTTGTTATTCTAATTATTTGATTAGCCTTTTATTATTGCCTGGTTTTGAATGTTTTTTTGTATTAAGTTTAATTAGATTCCTTTGTTTTGATGCCAAAAAGTGAAGAGATAGTGGATGCATGAATAATGTAAGTATAACATCAGCTTAATTTACTTTAGTTTATCATTTTTTGTGCTGACATTTAAAGTTGATATAATTGTATTTATTTTTGTCTTTATGCATTTGGTCTCATGTAGAAAAATCATCCATCTATCCATCCATCCATTCATCATATAAACCAAAGACCTGATCCTGAACTATGGAAATAAATAATTAGAACGGCTACTGGATCCTGTGTTTGAATGTGCACTTCACATTAGATGTTCCATGAGCCAACGCCACCGCCTTCAATGTAGTTTTTTCAATGACCGTGGAAGCCTGTAGGGTGAAGTCTAATATTAATGTTTGATGTAGTTAGGCGAGGGGAAAGTAAAGTAAATTTACTCAAGTCACTGACACCAGAAGATGCTATCAGATCAGCCGTAGCCTCTGCAGAATCCCAGTCCACCTCAAGGAGTCAGTTCAATGCCTAGTGAGTGTTCAGTGTCAGACAGCAACTGTGTTTGAGAACTCTTTAAGGTTGATTTTGAAAAACATAGACAAGTGCAGATTCCCACAGTGAATAAGTGATGATCTGCCTTTTGAAATGCACATCTCATGAATCAGTTGAGGGGAGATGGCTGGGGGACATCCAGATTGCCAGTAGAGGGCAACAAAGACCATATCATAGACATAACTAAATAAGCCCATGTAAGAGGTCATAATAAACACCAACAACAATATTGTAATGGAAATAATTAAGGTTAGGAAAGGTTAATATTACATTATGGTAATGTTCTGGTGTAGGGTTTTATTTGCACTTATTACTAATAAGTGATAGTAACTGATCTGTACAAGGTACTGCATGTTCAACACTAAACCAGAAATCATGTCACAGAAAATTCAGAGTGCTTGAACTAGCCAGTGTTGTAGTTGTAGCTCACAAGAGATTACTGTCAGTCACAAACACTAGTTCCTGAAATCAGTACAGAGAACTTTCTCCTATCCACACAATAACCAGTTTGATTTACTGTGACAAGCAAAAATAATATTTAGTTAAATACATTCAGACAATAACAGAATATGGATTTACTAACTTGTTCCTCTAACTTCCTGCCTCACTGAAATGCTCCTTCAAGCACATGCACCCTACGTGTTTGCATTGGTGTGTAGAAGAAGGCACATTGCATCTTCTCGTATCTGCTCAAAGAGCCTGTTACTGTGGTATGATGTTGTATAAATGATGAGGTGCTTGTGAACTTGCTGCAGCTGCTAAAGAGTTTCATAAAGGCTTAATTGAATCATTCAGGTGTCCCAGTGGATAGTCACGTCCCATACCTGTCTGTTATCATAATTTACCAACATTATTATTTTACATGTTTATTCTGATTATGCACAAAGAAAAAAAACCCCAAACATAACACATGTTTCTAGTGTGTGTGTGTGTGTGTGTGTGTGTGTGTGTGTGTGTGTTTACTGATGCTTACTGATGCTTACTGATGCTTCTGATTGCTCTGCTTCACCTCCATCAATACTTTTTCTTTATTTATTGTTTTATTCATTTTTGTACTACTTTTCATCTCTGGTCTCTCTTTCTCTACATTGCTCCCTGCGTACATGCTCTGATGTGAAAACAAAGCTCTGTATTGTAAACTGCATTCTGAAATCAAACTGCCAGTGACTAAATCAATATGAATGTATTATTTCCATGTGGGAAGAAAGACATTAATTCATTCAGATGAGTTCCTCTGTAACCTCTGCTTTCAACAAGCCATTATACTTAAGTCCCTCTCAACTCGAAAATGTGCTTGACCTTCATTGTGCAAAATGATGTATGTGCAGAGTTTGTCACTAGAATACTGTTTTCACATTCATCTGCTCAAGGTGAAAAGTTTCTCTGTTACTGCTTTGAATCTCAGATTAAGGAATGTACTATGTGGTCTGAAAGCCAGTCATGATCCAATGTTCAACTTGATGTTCAATTTGAAGCCTCTAGTGCACATACAGTGACAATGGAATAGTTCAAAAATATTTTTAGATTCACATTTTTTCAATGAGAAGGAGAAGCCTAAATGAAATGCTTTTATGTCATTAAACTTTCATTGTCATTGTTATTGGCCTTTTTGAAGAGGGGTGGGGGGTATATCAGACACAAAATTATTATTCATTCATTATTATCACGTCTTAAATTATGTCTTTAAGCCATTTTGATATATTTTACTTTTCAGCATAAATTTTTAGGAAGTCCACATCACTTTAACTCTAAAATCACCCTATTCTGTGATCGACTGTATCGGACACACTTTTCTGCTATCAATTACTCGGCCTGGATTAAACGCGGAAGCGGACGTTATCGGAACAGGACGGAGCTAACAAAGCTAGCAGCCAAACAAAAATAACTGACATACCTGACGGCTTTCTCCGCAGACGAACCGACACTGTGAACCGACTCGCTTTGACAGGTTAATGCTCATGCAGGAGAACAGGCTGCTGTCATGTTGACCGGGTTGGTTGAATTTGGAGACTCTTCCTTCCTCTGGACTGATGATGTCGGTGGGACTCGCTAGTTTCGCCTGACCTCCTCTCAGCACCACTGCTGCTGCTTCATAGCCTGGCTGTTGTTGGACTCTCAGCTCGGGGTAAGTTATCTCCTTCATACCCGGCAGCTGATGTTAGCTGGGCTGAAGTTACAGTAGTAGGTCTATAGTGTCCTTTTGTCATCAAGCCGAGTAAACTTTCCTGTTTGACAGCATCTCACAGGCCACATCACTTCAGTTAGTGGCGCTGTTATATTGAGATGTCGCTTATTGTAAGTGCTCCTGACCGTGGCTGTTCACGGTCACGATAAATAGTTTAACAGATTTAATAGTTTAACACGCTGCTGAAAAGTAGAATGGCGAGGGATGAAAGAAAAAATACGCACACAGCTATGGGTAAGGAGTACTTATGTAATAGTACCTCTAATAGTTCTCTTAAAGACTACATGAAGCACCAAAGTGTCAGTAGCATCTTAACCACAACACTGCAAAATGAATTTACCATAGGTAATACAGTGGTGCGTTCACGGATGTGTACACTTTATTCTATAGAAAACCGTCTCACAAATCACTTCCAGGGCAATAGACTACACTCCTCATTGTGTCATAACACACACACACACACACACACACACACACACCAGTACTGTAAAAAAAAAAAAAGTACAGTAAATCTATGAAAGAATAATTTACTTTTGTAACATTATGCTTCATTTGGCAGCAAAGGTAATTATTACGCTTATACTAAAGAATTGCATGGTGAAACTATTAAGAGTTATTATTTATTAGATACTATCCATTCCTGAAAATAACTTCAAAATTAACTTAACATCAGTGAAACAAGCTCTATAGCCTGGTCCTGCATCTGGTTGAAAGTTTTAAGTGTGTTGCATCTCTGACCACACCCAGTGTCACTGAGGCGTGTAGTTTCCACTTCATATCAGTTTGGCACTCAAAACGGCCCATGAGGCTTATACACATGTAAATTCTCATCTCTGTGTGGCACATAAGTAAGATACCACATATATCATAAACCACACAGATTGGTAAACGCATATCTTACTCAGCTTATAGTCCCTGAATCGAAATCGAAATTGTATCGTACAATCTCTGTTTAAAGATTAAACCGCAGCATTTCCACCACCCGCTGCTGTTAGATTATCGGCTGATAGAGCTTCACCATCATACCTGTGGCCTCATACGCTGCTTTCTCTCCATTTAAATACATTTCCCTGCCCTTGGAGCTAAATAACAAGCACCGTCAGGCACAAATAGAGCACAGCCTGTGATGTAACCCCATCTAACAGTGGTGTAGCAGTGTACTGACTCTGTGAAGTACACATAACTATTACTGCAACTAGGTGAGGCGTTAATCCACTGGAGGTGAGCAAAAGTAAGATTTTCAGATGCTGTCTCCGTAGGTTTCACTTTGGTTGCAGATTTGAGTGTGATCCAGAGGTCTGGAACCAGGCTACTGCCTCCCCACTGTGCCCATCTCTGTAGAGAACGTACTGTACTAAGGCCTCATTGGGAGAGAAATGTGAAATTGGTTTGACAGGGTCTGTGCTTCAGAGAATATCTCTTTAGGGAGCTGCAACATTAGCAAGTCAGGAAACGTTTTGCCTTTTACTGTTAATTCACCACTTTTCTTCACTCTGCATAGGAATGACAATGCACAGTGCCGGAGCGTCCCAGGACCCGTCACAGGGTACAGGGGAGCTGGTACACACACTGTCCAAAGAGACCCCCGGGTCTCCAGATGCTTCTGAGTTGGGGAGCCCACGGTGTATACCAAACTTTGACCTCCTCAACATGGTTGTGTCCTATAAGAGAATGGCTCTGTTTCTAGAACCAGTTGCAGATTCAGTGGAGCTGAGCCGCTTCCTGCTCGAGTGAGTATATGTGTCTGTGGTCTGTTTGAGCATCATATGATATAATTGCTTTTGGCCTTGTGTAGTAATGGCAAGAAGCCATATTTATATTGGAGTATTCAGTGTCATCTGCTTCATTTTCCAATCTCTCAGATGGAAGATGCCCCTGTGCTCACTGGTTGTCTGTATATTCCTTAATGTCTTCCTCTGCACTGTTAATGAAGGTAATATAACATTAGGCATTAATATTGATCCAACTTTTGTGTGATGTTTTAAAAGAGACCTGAATAATTTATTAATGTACTGTTGTGTCTGCCTCTCTGGTGTCAGTGGGTTGGTTCTCAGTGGGTGTGGTGGCAGTGTCTGCGCCTGCTGCCTTGGGTTACCTGCAGGACAGGTGTGGGGGCAGAGCCTCAGAAGCTGAGCTCCAGAAGAGGCGCTATCATGCTGTGCACCGCAGAGACCTGCAGACAGTGCATCTCACCAAACAGGAGGCCATGCTGGAAGTAAAAGACCTGTAAGACAGATGCTGCAGGGCTGCATCTAATTAGTGTTTTCATTATTGATTCGTGTGATTAATTAATAAGTCTATAAAATGTCAGAAAATACTTATGCTGATCACAATTATCTGAAGAACAAAGTGACATCCTAAAGTGTCTTGTTTTGTCTCACCAACACCAAAAAATATTCAAATGATCAAATAAGAGGAGCTAAAATATGATCACATTACATACAA